GTTACTGCATATAAACTGGTTTATATGATCCACGGCGGGCAGCCGCGGACATGCCGCATCTTTTTGCCCTCTGTGTGCGTTTGAAGTATAGGATTCACTTAGTGCTATCGTTCGCGATGAAATTGACCGGCCCGCTCCGCCCCGCCGTCTGCAAAGCGCCTAATACTTAGCTTTGGAAAAATAAGATCTAAAATAATGCAAGAAAACTCAACTTCAAGTTATATTTGTATCGCTCTGCAAACAGTGTACGACATGCTTATCAAGAACGCCCCGTGAGAAGCGAAACTGTACAGCTAGCAAAATGTGGGACATTGACGAAGTCGAATGTACCGATTTCAGGGTCAAACTGCAAAAGCCCAACGTATGGTTATTTAGTAGCTGCGAAAAACATATGACCTAATCCAAAATTCTTGTTTTTTGGTAAACGCTAAAAATGTGATTGACAAGATGGCCATTTTTTTGTTTTTCTATTATAACGCTATAAGTTATACGTTTATTATCATATTTTTTATTGTTAATGGTAGGATAGGAATTGTTTTCACGATTGTTTACTAAACCAGTCTATATAACTAATTAGAACCGTTGTTAATTAATCATCAAAAAAAAACTTTGTGCCCTTTTTTTCCTAAACAACATAAAAAAAAACTTGACTATTTAATATAGAGGCGATTCATTTCTAATGTTATATATTTGATACATGACCAATTTTGTAATATGCTAGTTTAATAATTAATGATTTTCTAAATTAAAGGAAAATGAAATAAATGTCCACGCAACACTGAATGGGGTACTTCAATACTGAGGGAGGCGCGGTATGCGTGTCATTTAAAAAAGACGAAAATAGTACGTTTGTCTTCTTCTGACCTAAAAGAGCCTGTTTATTAATAATAAACTGATAGAATACATGTTTTTATGTCGTTTCACGTTTAAAAGTCATTTTGCTATTTTTTTTATTTAAGTCACTTCAATTCTAAAGGTGCGATATGGTTCGGATACTTTGTAATGAACAATTATCATCGGAAATTACGACCATGTTTGCAAACAACCAATTTGGCAGTCAGATGAACATACAACCCGATATCGAAGCTCCTTTTCTGTTGAACGACGTTTTAATAATTAAAATACACAGATGCCATTTATACAACTGCCTGCATCTTTCCACGATGCAGTTTAGAAAGGACAAGGTGAATTTAATTAGCCACTATACTTACCAGAACACCTTCGGAGCGTACTTGTTGATAATTATCTTCTTTTTATTTTATTTGTTTGCTTCTGCTTGCGCACTTTATTTTATTTTAACGCATTTCAGGGCACGCGTGGCCTGTCTCTATGTCTGGATTGTCACGGCTATTTTCTCTTTTCCTAATCTTTACAAAGCTATGTACTCCTAATGGCTGTTTACTTTCTACGTATGGGTATTTATGGCTGATTGCTTGTATCATTTTTTGAAGTCAAAACTTCTTTAGCGGCGTTGTACACTTTTTTTTGTATGGGTAAACATGTTAAACTCGCGTCAGGTTAAACACGTGGGCCGATCGCATCATGACACACAATAAAATTGGAAAGCTTGTTGACTTTCAATATATTGGACGAAACATAGTAATATTTTATTTTACCGTATTAGTCTCTATCTAGGACGTCCACGTGGCAGCTTTATTGCAAAGAAAATGCATTTTTTACAATAAATGTCGCTAGGTTCGCTTAAATGTGATTCATGAAAGTTGATTTCTTTACAATAGATGTCGCTAAGTGCGCATAAACGTGATTCATATAAGTTCATTTTTCTGAGAGATAAACTTTTTTAATGTAATATAAATTGCCATGTTTGTGTACGATAGCACAATAAATAAATATTGTATTCTATCACATACATGATAGTACTTTTATACTGATCATTAAAGCAATTCGTGCAAAATTATTCCCTAACCATTCCAAAATATCAAAAATACACAACGTTAATATTCAAGTTTTCACTTCTGCCGGCACTCCCGGAGTACAACTCGTCGTTTTTTTTTATTGTGGTACTTTTAGAATTCATTATGTATGTTGTAGAAAATAATAAACGTATAATAAACTTATAGCAACTCATGGAGGGTATGCTATGCGTACCTACAAGTATTTATTAGCGCGTAGCCAACTGCGTACCCTGGAACGCGTTTTCTGTACGCATCTGTATACTTACTTAGAGCGTGAATATTAAACGTAATTTAATTTTTTGTCTTTTTTTTATATAGCTTGGTAGGTAAATGACTCTATCCCACCTGATGTTAAGTGGTGATAAAGTCCAAACGCGTAGATAGCTGGTACAGCAGTTATAAACTGGCACACCAACCATCCACACAAAAATGCTTCTTCACGCCTCTCTTAACCCCTCACTAGCTAGTGGTCATGCGCCGTTCTTACGTCAAAGTTGATTACGTCATCTGTCAACATTCCCGCTGGGTGGGAACGATTGCATTGTTTTGCCGATTTCTCTTTTATTTCGTAAGAATACCCTACACAAACTATATATATTTGGATTCTCCATAAAATTTACTATAAAACAGTGCCTACACAATGCGTCATGTCTATAATCTATTTTAATTACGTTACAGATGGGTAAAATGGAGTAGATCTTCAAAATTTTAAAATTTCATGTCCATTTTTTTGGTTATTTGCACATTTGTAGGAATAGTGACCACAGTAAGTCAATGGCAACGTAGGCCAGCGCGCGTGGTCCTCTGAAGTCCAGTTTATTAGTTACCTCTTCATCGCCAATTTAGAATTTACCATCGTATTTATTTACAAGTAATTACTTGTTGCTTGACTTTGTTACTTATCAAAAAAGCATTAATAATAATAATAAATTGATAGATCGACACGAACGCCGTGCAGTAGTTGTTGATATCGCTGTCCCCCATGACGACAACCTTGTAAAAGCTGAAAAAGACAAAGAAAACAAATATCTTGATTTAGCTCGCGATATTGTTGACATGTGGGACATCGATTCAGCAATTGTTGTACCGATAATCATATCTGCCCATGGTTTGATAGCCAAGAGCCTCGATAAACACCTTAAGAGGCTCGCGTTAGGTGGTTGGGACAAGAGTCAGATGCAGAAGGCAGTACTTCTGGACACGGCCCGTATAGTGAGGAGGTTCCTGTCTCTGGATCCTTAACCACCGGTAGCAGGGACCCTGATCTTGCTGCCGATGGGTAGGGCTGCCATCCGTCCGGGTTTCCCCGGATTTGTCCTAGTTTACGGGGCGTCCGGGGAGCGTCCGGGCGGGGTTTTATTTGTAGTCCGGGTTAAAAAATTACGGCAACGCATGAGTGGCCCTTGGTGCTGCAAGTGTCCATGGGCAGCAGTGACCACTTATTATGAGGTAGACTGCTAGCTCTTTTGCCTAGATCAACATAAAAAAGTTGATTTGTGACATTTTTAACTGTTTTTTTTTTGGTCTGTCCGGGTTCTGGGCTCCAAATCCGGGGTTATCACGTGTCTTATCCTGGTTGCCATATTTTAGAGATGGCAGCCCTACCGATGGGGAACTACATTTTTGTATTTTTAAATGTTATTTTTTTAATGTTATACACTGTAAAAAACTAATATTTAGAAATATAATTTTGTATGTATATTTAATGAAATAAAGGAATAATAATAATAAAACTCTTTATTTTATACCACAAAAAATATAAAACATTATACATAATGGCTGTTTACAGTGTAAAAATGGGTGGCCTTATCGCTAAGAACGATCTCCTCCAGACAACCTTGGGATGGAGAGGACAAGAAAGAAGCTGGAAACACGGCGGTGTAATTAACTGCAATAATACGCGAGAAAATCTTTGTACAAACCGAGTATATAAAACAAATAAATACATAGATATACATACATACACTCATACATACATAGATATTTATCTACCTACACATATATACAGGGTGTGACAAAAGCCGAAATAAAACTTTAGGGTTTGGTTGTGTTCCTTTTGTGTGTGGTATAGTAGCAAACTTCATATTAATGCTAGTTATACTACTTCATCTACCGTAGATCAAATGGTGGTTCACTATTCCCATAGAGGGTTCGTTTAGGCGTGCCGAGAAGTCGAAAAGCATGAAAATCGACTTTCAAAAACGTGATCGCAGCATGTCTGCCGTTTTGATGTCTTAAAATACGTATTTTTTATATAGAAAAACTTAATGCCAGACACTTTTTCCGGTTCCTACTATATTTTATATATTATCATAGTTTCCAAAATTTCATAAAATTTGCGTTATTTTAGCAAAGCTAAAAATTACATAAAACATGTTATTTATATTATTATTATAAACATATATTTACAAATACAGTCCTATAGGTCGGTTCTGACATGCGGATCACTGGCTCTCAGTCTATTATTGCGCAGAAGTAAAAATTAAGATGTGTTGGGGGGAAACGAGGTGCGCGGGTGGGGTACACCATTGCGCCGATTGGCTCTCCAGTCGTAAGCATACGCAGCTATCCCCTCCGCGTTTTGTTCAGCGCTAGAGTAACGAGCCGCTACCTGTACCTACTTGTTAATACACTTGCATTAAACATTGAAGAGCATTGGGTTCACTGTTTTTCTTAGCTAAAATTAATATAACCATTTAAGTAGGTCATGCTAGGCAAACGGGCGGGTATGTCAAAACTTTAAGGTTTACCTGGAGAAATTTGACAATTATGGCTAATAATAAAAAATATACCACGGGGTAGATGGGGTCAGGTTGGGCAACGATTGAATGGTGACTGTTCTAGATTAGCAAGCGTTTAAAAGCTGTAACACTTACTATCACATTCATATTTTTTGTTCCCATAAACAAATATAGCTCGTTCGCTGTTATATAAAAATCCGGCTTTTCGAAAAAAACCCGTAGGTAATAAGAGAATATTTTATACAACTGCAACCTTAAAAAATACAGCGTGAGAAACATTGGGCCAAACACCGATCCTTGTGGTACACCAGCTTCTATTCAAAACTAGAACATCTGTTTTCAGGAAAGACTACTAGATGTCGCTGCTCCAAGATATAGTCGTGTTCCTCTGCGGTTTCGTGGTGCCGTTGAGACTGGTCGCTGCTCAGGTGCCGCTCCCGGGAGGATGTCCCAAGGTTCAGGTGGTGAACGACTTCCAAGCGCCCAGGGTAAATTATGTCAAAGATTGTAAAATACTTAAAATACAAATGACCCGAAAAACAATGTTCAACGATAGGCAAAGGTATGGCTGTGTCACTGGCATTACTGATGTACACTTAATAGCAGGTAACCCGTCTGCATGACTGCATTCGAAAAAATACTTTAAAAAAAACTTGAATATATCGATTGCCTCAGATAAGATGAAAAGACTATATTTTATGAGAAACCGTGAATAAAGTCTTAACTCTTCCAGAAAACTTAACTGCACCAGCCATGTTCTTCTCGTAACTAAATTTCACATACCTTCTTACAGTTAGTATCATCACCCGAGTATTTCAGGTGATGGTTAGGATTTAAGTGAATTATGTTTTTATTCCAGAGGAATCAAATAAATTATGAAACTAACGTTCAACATAATAAAGGACAATCGCTTCCCTTTCATACAATGTAACACATTTCATAGTTAACTTTTGATATCTGAAATTACGTTGAAACGTCAATTTCATTTAATAAAAAGTTAGGGTTGTCTTATTCTATTGCTATGACAGCATCAAATATAATCAATCTTAAAAAATAATTTCATCATATCTGATTAAGGTTCTTATATTTAATACTTTTACTTTTTTTATAATACATTGCTCCGGCAAATGATTCCACCCCACCTGATGTTAAGTGACGATGGAAGAGTGGAGACACGTATAGATGGCTGGTATATCTGTTATACTTACCATTCTAGTCGTCCTGTCCTTGCCGAGCGAGGAAGCACGTGAGCGGGCAAAGCATTCCATTTGAGAATCGTGCGACAAAGCCACCAGAACCAAGACACCGAATTTGTACACTATGTAAATTACGTAGTTTTGAATAAGGATCGCCGCCGTCGTATTCATGAATAAGTATATTTTGATATTATGTATTTATATTACTTTTCAGTATTTGGGGAAATGGTATGAGGCCGAGAAATACTTCTTCGTGTTCGAGCTGGGCGGCAAGTGCGTCACCGCCACGTACACGGACCTCGGCAACGGAACTATCGGCGTCTACAACTCCAATTTTAACACTATGTGAGTGCAACGATCACATGCTTTTTAATTTATTATTGTATTAGCGGCCCCCCGCGAAATCGTCCGCATGAACTTTAATTTCTTGAGAACCCCACAGGAACCGAGCATTTTTCCGGCATAATAAATTAATGCACGTAAAAACCAAAAATACATATGTATCGTTGAAGTTGACGCTATTTCTGGGCTGAAGTGTAAACTATGTGCCATTATATTGTTTTAAACTTTCATGGTCACTAACATTATAGTAATATAAGTTATTTACGGCATTGTTACCATGTACCTTGTTTTTAGCGAGTCCGATATTTCGGCACTGTTGCAAGCGCCATGATCACGGAGTAACTGAAGTAATTGCGGGTAGGCTGTTATTGGCAGACATACTACCCTCCGACGAAGTCTTTTATTGCGTTCGATACCCGTACCACTGTTCACATTCTCACTATTCACTCGAAACTGTTCTCGACACACAGCACTTGCAGTATCGGATCGCGACACGACACTTTTTTGATTATTTCCGGTTTTACACATACGAACCACAGGGTTCCAGAAACTCGACAAAAATTTCAATTTCAATCGTGAAAAACAAGGTACATGGTAACAATCCCGTAAAAAACTTATATTACTATATGTGCCATTAATTATAATATTTGATTGTTAAAGCGTGGGGCGCTGGAACAGCAAAGACTTTTTGTATAATTTGCTGAGAAATCAAGATATTAGTAATGCGATATTCATCATTATAATTAATAGAAATTATTAATCATCATCACAGGAGACCGAAGAGCTGGCAGCTACCTTGGACAAAGAATTAGTCTACCTATCCAAATTGGGAACGCTGCCAGTATCTTCGGAACCTTGCCTAAAGGGACTCCTTTTAATAATGTATTTTAGTTATTATATTATGTTATTTTTTATGGTTTTTAGGTTTAGGTCCATTGTTATAGTATATTTCTTGTTTTAAGCTAGTATCAGATAATAGTATATTTAAGATAATAAATTGAAATACTATTAATAGAATAACTAAGGGAATACTAGTCGTGCTGCAACTCAGTTACTAGAACGCCAATCCATGTAACCTGCTTCCCTTAACGCTTAACTTGGTTTATCAGCAAGTTATACAAAAAGTCTTTGCTTTTCCATACAGATGCCAATTTTCATTGCGTTACGATCCTTAAAAGATGGTTAAATTGTTACCTTAGATTCCATTACATAGTTAGTTACATACAGGTCGACCTAATAGAAGCGCGTTAAAAAATAAAAGCGTGCTTAAAAAACAGAATATATGAAGACGAATGTAATGAGCCTAAACTCGATATGTTTACTAGTAGGCAGTCCAGGGTCCATTGGCCACCTTTCAGTCCATCGTTAAGTCCTCGTCGTCAGGAGAAATGAATAGAATATGTGAAATTCCAGCTGCTGCATTTCGCCATCGTACATTGCGACAAAAATTTCATCCCCATCATCTTGATGCGTGGCTATCCATGTTTTTTTGTCGAAATTTTTTACCACGTACGACAAAACTGTGGAATATGTTGTCGCCAGCAGGGTTTCCAGACCAATACGACCCAAAAACCTTCAAAAAAAAGGGCGTATTCCTTCCTTTAAGGCGGGCATCGCATTTGTGATACTCCTGGTGTTGCAAGTGTCCATGGGCGACGGTGATCACTTACCATCAGGTGAGCCGTCTGCTAGTATGCCCCCTACAACATAAAAAAAATGTTAAGGCGAATCTAATGTGCCTAAACTCGATGTTTTTACTAGTAGGCAGTCCAAGGTTCCATCAGTCACCTTCCAGTCCAATCATCAAAATAGCTCAACGTTACCCTAATATTGAATTGTCATCTAATTTACATATAATTACCAAGTTTCATGATGATACAAGAATAAGAAGTGGGTGTAATTCAGATTGTTAGATTTCATTACATAGTTAGTTATATGTCGACGCTTGTGTCTCCATCAATTTGCATAAGAAGGAAAACGAAACGTAACGGGTGAAAGAAGCCGGTGAAAGAAGCTCCGAAGAAGAACCGCGCATTCAAATTTTATACGGCGCACAATACGCATACAAATTCTCCTGACCTGACTGTCCCAAACATTATATACAAGTCGACCTAATAAAAGCGTGTTAAAAAGTATCCCATTGTCTCAATCCAGGTTATAAACTAGTTTTTTAGTAGTTGAACCTTCGCTGTGAGCAGACGCGCGCTAATCGTTTTCGTAAATTTAAATATTTTTCTACACTCTTTGCATTTAAATTTTGTGCATCAGTCGTTCAAGTTTAGATTCATTTTTGATTGCAACAAGTTTGTGTCATTTAACTTTTTACTGCTGAGGACTTCTATTGTTCTCGCCGTGGTGCATCGCTGCTGCGGGGATACCCCCCTGCGCACGTCTCGAGTAAAAGAGAGGAGCTCTGATTTTTCTTCCCGCTTCAAGCCACACTGTTATCAGAGTGTGTATCTGTGAACGCAATCATGAACCCTCTTCGGTCGCCTGCAAAACTACAAACTGGATCGCAACCTGATCTCTCTAAGCTTAAGGATGATACTTCCAACATTATCCGCAAAAGAAAGCAACCTGAATATGACCCCAGCACTGTGACCCAAGAACTAGCAGATTTCCGGCGGGACATGATGTCTATTATGCAGTCTTTTAGTAATAACTGTAATGAGAACATGACTTTAACTAGACAAGAAATTTTATCCGATATCAAGGAGCACATTAGTAGCATTTCGTCCCTGACAGAGTCATTAATTCAAGAACAAAATCAAATTAAGGTTGAATTATCAGAACTTAGAAGCCGAGTGACCTCCATAGAGATAAAAAATGATGGTATTTCTCGGAAAATCAGTGATGACGATATTGAGCAAATAAAAGTCTTGAATTCTGAAAACAATAGCATTCGGCAGTATTCTATGATGAACAATGTGGAGATATCGGGTGTGCCATTTACAAAGGGCGAAAATTTAAAAACAATTCTCCACAATATCTGTTATCTTGTTGGATTCCCATTAACGGACACAGACGTGGATACTATTCACCGTGTACGGCGTTTTCTTTCTCCTGAAAAAAGTCCTCAGGGTCAAGAACGTCCACCGGCCATTATAGTACGCTTTACCCAGCGTATACGTAAAGATCAGCTGTTGGCGGCGGTTCGCGAGCGACGTGGGCTATCCACCTCCGATATCAATGTACCTGGGCCGGACATGGCGCTTTACTTCACAGACCATCTGACCCCTACAAATAAATTACTTCTAAAGCGAGCAAGGGAACTAAAAAAGGAGTTAAATTACTCATTTCTATGGGTTCGTGATTGCAAAATCTTCATGCGGAAAAATAAGGGAAGTAATGCAATAGTGATTAAGGGTGATAGTGATTTAAAAAACCTAAAATGACTTCTTTTAAATTATTTGCATTATTTTTTGTGGAAATTATTATTAGCATTTACCTTATTTCTGTACGTACGTAAAATATTATATAAAACGTTGTACATGATATGCATTGTTCAACTAATTATAATATCATGTATGTGTGAGTACCCTCTTTGGTCTAACGTTAGCGTGCACTATTTTTTTTACCAAACGAAATCATATTTTAACCATATTTATACTCTTTTATTTGTTCTACTTTGCCTGATAGTATGTTTGAAAATTTTACCTATAAATCGAATACTTTACCGTGTTATTTACTTTAATCAAAATCTTTTATATTTGTCTGCGAGTACTATACATTGTTCTTTGATAATATATATGCTAATAAGAAACAATAACATCAATCAAATAGAAAATGACAGTTAATTTTTTTTCTGGTTATTATCAGAATGTAAGGGGCTTGCGCACAAAATCTCATAGTTTCTTATCACAAGTTTCTCAGTCTGAATATGATTTTATATGTGTCACTGAAACATGGCTTTCTTCTAATTTTTATGATCGTGAATTTTTTGATGAAAGGTATTGTGTATTTCGCTGCGATCGCTCGGCGGCTGAGAGTGGGGCGGCGAGGGGCGGCGGGGCGGCCATCGCCGTGCGAGCGGCGTTGCGCCCGCTCCGCCGCGACTGGCCCGTGCCTTCTCGAGCACATTCCGACTGCCTGTGGGTGTCGCTCCCGCTCGCTTATGACGGAGCCACTACCGCGCTCGCACCGGGGATACCGGCGACGGCGTCATTGACGCATGCTTCTAAAACAAAGTTCCTAAATATTGCGTGTATATATTTACCACAGGGTCCCGGATATAAGGATACACTTACTTCTTTTTTTGATATTGCTAGTCAAATAATGATAGATCGACCTAACGATACGTTTGTTATAGCTGGAGACTTTAATGTTTGTAACGCTGTCTGGGCGGACACAAACTCATGTGAAATGCGTTTAATTAATAACAGTAGCTTTGCGGTACAATCTTTAAGTGACTTCATATCCTTTTCCCATTTAAAACAGTACAACTCAGTACAAAATGTCAATGGTCGCATACTAGATCTAATATTTTCAAATGAGGATTGTCGTATAGTAGCCTGCGATCACCCACTGACGGCTGAGGACAGCCATCATAGGTCATTGTCATTACATTTAAAAGTAAATTATTACAGTTCGTTAAAACCATCTCGGAGTACTATTAATAACTTTCATTGTGCTGATTATGAGAAGATCAACACAGAATTAAGTAGTATAAATTGGTCTATATTATTTCAAGACTTAAATACGGAAAACTGTGTTAAAAAATTTTACGAAATCATTAACGGGTTGGTATCTAGATTTGTTCCCCAACGACAAGTTCATGATTCTACTAAAGTTCCAGTTTGGCACAGTAGGGCATTGACTAAACTTTTGAAAGAAAAGCGTAAATTTCACAAGCTATGGAAATTATATGGTAATCCCTTAGATTACCAGAGTTTTAAAATCTTGCGTAAACGTGCAGAAAAAATGATGAAAGAGTGCTACAATAATTATATATCATTCTCGGAAGAAAAAATTAACACCCATCCTAAATATTTTTGGACTTATGTTAAGTCTGTTTCTTCTAATAAAGGGCTCCCACAATCTATGAATTATAAAGGGTCAACGGTCTCTGATGGGCAAATTATTTGTAACTTGTTTAACGATTACTTTTACTCTGTTTTTGAGAAGTCTAACCAATTACCTTTTGAATCTGACAATATTGAGCCACCGCCTCTTGACCCTATCATTGATATGCACTCTATAGAAATAGACACCGACATTGTTTTTAATTATCTGAAATCAATTGATATAAACAAGGGAGCAGGTCCTGATGGTATCCCCCCGTTATTTATAAAAAAATGTTCTTCAACTCTTACGTTACCAATCACTATTTTATTTACAAAATCCTTGAGGGAAGGTTGTATGCCGGAGATCTGGAAACAGGCTTGGGTTACTCCAGTTCCTAAAGGTAAAGTCAGTTCAGACATTGAAAAATATAGACCTATTTCTAAATTATGTCATTTCGGAAAAATACTTGAAAAAATTGTTACTGACCAATTATCTAGGGTGGTTCGCCGTCATGTGTCTTATTGTCACCATGGCTTTTACAAGGGTCGTTCTGTAGAAACTAATTTACTTAATTTCACCGAAGTTGTTCTAGAAGCTATGAATGACGGGTTCCAGGTAGATGCCGTGTATGCCGATTTTGCCAAAGCGTTCGACAAAATTTGCCATAGTACCTTGTTAAAAAAGCTCTGGCGACTTGGTATATATGGTGATCTGTTCCGATGGGTAAAGTCTTACATAGAGAAAAGAAAACAGGCTGTTGTAATCTCTGGATATTGCTCGGAATTCAAATATATTCATTCTGGCGTCCCCCAAGGTTCCCATTTGGGACCATTATTGTTTATATTATATGTAAATGACATAACTAATAGCATTCTACATTCTGGTGTTTTACTTTACGCAGATGATACTAAAATATTTAGAATTATTCGTGACGCCAATGATTGTACACTGCTACAACACGATCTTTTTGAATTTGAACATTATTGCAACACAAATAATCTATTTCTTAACCTTGAAAAATGTCATATTATAAGTTTTACAAGAAAAAAGAAAATTATTAACTTTAAATATACTTTGGCAAATACAGCATTACAACGAGTATACCAAATCCGCGACCTAGGTGTCTTAATGGATTGTAAACTAACTTTCTTACCGCACCTAGATTCAATTATAAACAAATCTTACAAACAGCTTGGCTTTATTCTCCGCGTAAGTAAACCTTTCAAAAAAGATTTTACATATAAAACACTTTTTAATTGTTTTGTCCGTAGTCGATTAGAGTATGCTTGCGCAGTGTGGAAACCATACTGTAGGAAACATATCGATAGAATCGAAAGGGTTCAGAAGAAATTCATTAAATCAGTAAACTATCGCAATTGTTACGTTCAACCAAGTTATACACAGTCACTATCTCACTATCATATTCAGACGCTCGAAGAGCGTCGAAACTGTGTCGACGCACTTTTATTATATAAGATACTAAATAACATTGTTGATGCTCCTTATTTACTTAGTAAAATAAATCTAAGAGTACCTCGCAGACTCGAACGCAATTGTCGTGATAAAAAATTATTTTATATTCCATTTAATAGAACATGTTACGTTAAAAATATGTTTACAAGACGTGCATGCATAACGTTTGACCAAAATGAAAAACTTACCACTATTGATATATTTAACACATCAATAGGCAAAATCAAAAACGCCTTTAAATTATACACTGTTTGATCACGTTTGTAGATTAGAATTTAATACTCACACATGTAACGCAGATAGGCTTTTGATCACATTTACTTAAAGTTCTTTAGTTTAAATTGATTAGCGCTAATTTGTTTACTTTAAAAGGTTTGTTAACAATTTCGTCGCTGTGTGGTTGGGTCCGGTGGGTCGGGATTGGTTGATTGTGCAGGTTGGCTCGGCTTTTCGTCTGTGGGAGCCCGGTAGTGTGTATCCGTTTAACAATTGTGCGCAGAAATTATATTTACATACATGCATTACTGGAGAAACATTGACGGGTTTCCGTGGGCGGGGGGTCGGGTCGATCTGTATTGTTAGCTCGTTTCGACTTACTGGGTTTTAGCTGTACAGCGCGATTTCTAATTAAGGAAACTGTAGGTCTGTAGTGATATATAAACTGACAATATTTTCAAAATTATATGTATGACCGTTTGTTTCTAATAAATAAATAAATAAATAAATAAACGACTGGACCGATTTTGATGAAATTTTTTGTGTGTGTTCAAGGGGATCTGAGAATGGTTTAGATTCACAATTTTGTCCGCTGGACAACCCCTATTTTTTTAGGTACCGCCCTAGTTCGCTGGGTCAGCTAGTTATGTACCCATTTACTTCATCTTTGATTATTTGTATTTAATCGATTGTCAATGTAACGGAATCATATATGAATCATAAAAGGGTCAACCATGAGAACAGGTCTAAAAAACTTGTTTTAATTTTTTTATATTTACATGAGAATAACGTATGTTTCCAGAATTCCGTTACGAAATTGTGACATTGGGTCAATGTTAATTTAGCCTCTGCAGTCCCTTCGCCTGTCAGGGGACTGTATCTTAAAACCATTATAGCTAGAAAGATAAAAAATTCAGTGTATATTTCTATTGTAGAGGACTTTTTTTAAAAAGACGTGATTTTTAATAGTTTTTTGTCGTCCTCTCCGTGGTGTACCGATCTTTAAACAATCAGTCCCAGTAGAGGAAATGTTTGCATGATGAATACGAGCATTTGTGACTTGAATCATGGCGGTTTATATACGCATATAATATGCATTTCTACCCTTAAATTATAAATACCAATAACACAAGCCTTACAGTGCTTATTTTAGGGCTAAGCAGTTGATATGTGTGTAAGAAATATTTATTTCTTTTTGTTATATGTACTTTATATCAAATATTAAATCTTATATGGTAATGCTACGGAACTATTCGTATCTGGTTATGACCACGTTAAGACTTATTAATTACTAGTGGCCCGCCCTCGCTTCGCTTCGGTGTAGAGCTGTAGTATAAACTATAGTTTTTGTTCTCAGGCTTGTGCTATAAACAATGACTTTATTTATATAATTACACGTGTTATTGTGAGTCAACCATAAAAGATAGACATATGCTATTGCGGAATATTTTTTAGACAATTTTATGTAGAATATTTCCGTCATACATGATTTCTATGTAACTTTAACCATTAAGGCTGCACACGCGACGGAAGCTTAAAAAATGGAGTAACTTCTGCCGTTTTCCCAACATTGCCCTTCACTACTCTGCTGCTATTGATTATAGCGTGATGAAAAGTATACTATAACCTGCCCAGGAGTATGAAGAATAATTGTACCAAGTTTCGTTAAAATCCGTCGAGTAGTTTTTGTTTCTATAAGGAACATACACAAAGACAGACAGACAGACAAAAATTTTACTGATTGCATTTTTGGCATCAGTATCGATCACTAATCACCCCCTGATAGTTATTTTGAAAATATATTTCATGTACAGAATTGACCTCTCTACAGTTTTATTATAAGTATAGAGTAGTTTAGATAAACTTAAATGGTCACACACATAGTATACCGTTATTTTCCAAGGTGAATTTAACAGATTGCTGTTACATTCTTCTTTCTTAAATTCCAGTACGAACTCACAGTCAGACATACAAGGGACGGCTACTCTAGCTGATCCCTCAGTGGCGAAGCTGGAGGTTCGATTCCCGTCGGTGCCCGGCAACTTCGGAGCGCCCTACTGGGTCGTGGACACAGACTACACCGGCTACGCGCTCGTCTGGAGTTGCAATGACTTCGGATTCATTCACACCGGTGAGTATTTTTTTTTCTGGGAAAGGTTTGACGCCCTCCTCGCCACCGGGAGTTACAACGAGGATAACTTCCTAACCCCTGCATGTATTAAATGTTTCCGAATTGGATAACGCTTGGGAGGTTTTATTTTTAAAATGGTATTAAAAAACAAATAGATGTTGAAAATAGGTTTTCCAGATGTTTTACCTAGGGTTGCAACGATATATCGAAATATCGATAATATCGAGACCAAAATATCGATATTTATATCGATATTTAAAATTCACTGATATCGATAATATCGATATCGTAAATTCCAAAATATCGATATTTCGTAGACTAAATTTAAATACAATAATATCAATTAATTTACCTGCTATGACTATCTAAATTGAATAATATCGAAATAACTATTGCTTTGAAATCGCAAGAGCTTATAGATGTATTAAAAAAATCTTGAACCCCAAGAAATATACTAAACTGGTGTGGACTCAGGCATGATTATCTCAACCTAAAATTTAATTTGACAACAGTGTATCCTTGTCATTCTCTATACAGAATGACAAGGAGAGACTGATGTTAAATTTAGTTTTAAGTTTAGATAATCATGCCAGAATCGACACCAACGTATATAGGTATAATCGTATACCTAATGGTAACTCCTGCACTTAAATAAAATCCTTGCCTCTCTTTCTAGATAATTGTCAACTACTGATTAATTGAAATTAAATATCATTGTAATATAACACAAAATAAAATTAAGAATCTTATACAAATCGTAAATTTTTAAGCTCACCAAGTCAAGAAAGTAAGATAGGTATAGTAATTTTTGAAGCTTTGGGCTTACCCTATTCTGAAGCCATGGGCACGCCCCTGATGTGTGGGAGACTAAGCAATTTGCGTATTTGATGTGCGCTAAAAAACCGACATAGCTTGGAAAAGCACGAATGTAGTGAAAACTTAGCGAAGGCATTCGCAAATGTCGTCCCACATATGCGGGTTGGCGCATTCGTGCTAACAAATGTGAGTGATCTGATCAGGATAATAATTTTAATTTTTTGGTTTCCTGTCGTGGCTGAAACACAAACCGTGCGAGCCAAAAAAAATCCTGCTTGGCGCAATTTCATCAAGCGTGTTTAAAGAAAAAGCTGGCTCAATTCATTTTGCGAGAAATTTGCCAACAAACATATGAATGTGTCACACTCACCCCGTATTCTAATGTCAATAAAAAAAAAAAGAAAAAAATATCGATATATCGATAATATCGAGTTAAAATGGTCGATATATCGGTTATCGATATTTTCCTGACTTCGATATAAATATCGATAAAATATCGATATTTCAAAAGACTTTGCATCCCTAGTTTTACCAATAGGTAATTCGGCGTCTTTTTCATCAAAGTTGATATCCATAACCCGCCAGAGGTTAGAAGAATATGCGAGGACTCCTCCCCGCTCACCTCGTCGAACGTCGTCAAACGAACAAGGCCCTATCACTTAAATCACAAACAGTACTCCTGCACCGGCCACCTAAAACGCTCTTAGACAATTTGTTTCTTAGTCTGCTGACTAACGTGTGGCGTGACGTGCATTTTGGCAGCAGAGGCATCTTGCATTTTAGGCACTGTGCTCATAAAAGCTTTCTGAGGACCGAAGTCCCCCAAATGTCTGCCAAGAATACGAGGATGTAGGACTGGCCACACAGCCGGTAGGTAGCCTTCTTTAAGTCTGGAGCTAATGCCATCTAGTGAACACAAAGGGAAGCAAAATAATTCCCAATAATGTCGACATGGTTCTTTTACTAAAAATTATAGGATACGGAAGCAACAACCAGCTTACGTAAAAATTGCATTCAAATTAAACTATGCTATAGTAAGGCACCTTGTAAGAACTCTGAAATTATAAGGATTGTGGGATCATTCAGGATGGCTACCGCGAAACATTTCTCTGTTAAATCAGCAGTTTCGCAGACTCAGAAATCTTGCCCATTCATCTATTACCCGAATTACCGTTGCAAATCACGGTTAACAATTTCGCCGCAATTACTTCGCCTGCGGCTGGATTGCTTTCATCTGACAGATTGTAATAATCTATATATATATATAAAACTCAAAGGTGACTGACTGACATAGTGATCTTTCAACGCACAGCCCAAACTACTGGACGGATCGGGCTGAAATTTGGCATGCAGGTAGATGTTATGACGTAGGCATCCGCTAAGAAAGGATTTTGATCAATTCTACCCCGAAGCGAAGCGAGGGCGGGCCACTAGTTTAATAATATAACTATAAAGTTGTGCTTCTGCAGTTATATTATATACTAGTGGCCCGCCCTTGCTTCGCTTCGGTGTAGAGCTGTAGTGTAAACTATAGTTTTTGTTCTCAGGCTTGTGCTACAATTGACAATGACTTTATTGAAAACAATGACTTTATTATATTACACGTGTTATTGTGAGTCAACCATAAAAGATAGACATATGCTGTTGCGGGATATTTTTTAGACAATTTTATGTAGAATATTTCCGTCATACATGATTTCTATGTAACTTTAACCATTAAGGCTGCACACGCGACGGAAGCTTAAAAAATGGAGTAACTTCTCCCGTTTTTCCAACATTTCCCTTCACTACTCTGCTGCTATTGATTGTAGCGTGATAAAAAGTATACTATAACCTGCCCAGGAGTATGAAGAATAATTGTACCAAGTTTCGTTAAAATCCGTCGAGTAGTTTTTGTTTCTATAAGGAACATACACACAGACAGACATACAGACAGACAGACAGACAAAATTTTACTGATTGCATTTTTGGCATCAGTATCGATCATTAATCACCCCCTGATAGTTATTTTGAAAATATATTTCATGTACAGAATTGACCTCTCTACAGATTTATTATAAGTATAAATTAATCAATAGTTATAATAAAAGTTACGGTATCCTTCGAGCTAGGTTCTCCCAAAGAAAACAGGACAACGGGAGCCTATTAAACTTAACCACAATCGGAAAAAAAAAAAGTTTGGAGTAAATCATATTGTTCACCTGAATTTTTTTGTATTTTTTTTTTTCAGTAACTTCTTGGATACTGACAAGGGAGCAGCATCCTTCAGCCAATGTCCTGAATAAAGCGTATGCAGCCGCATCCAAAAACCAAATAAATAAAAAATTCTTCATGAAGACTGATCAAAATGACTGCCCTGTAAGAGGACCTCCATAGAAGGATCACATTTAAGTCAGAATAATTGTCAGTGATGTTAATTATGCATTATTATGTGCCAAAACCGCATCGGTATTTTCTTATTTTTTTAATGAAACAATTAGGATATATTTCGAATAGATTCGAAAGCTTTTAACTAGACTCAGCAAAAAGGTTTATTTTTTATTTTCAAAGATAGTATAAATACCCGTATTTACGAAGCGTTGTATAGTAAGCCCTTGTTTTATAAACAAGATTTTAATCAAATAAAACTAGTTTTAACGGGTTAATGCACGAAACTTTATTTACTTATTGACGTTTCGCAGCCTTTTCAGGTCTGCATCGTCAGAATACTGATTTTTTATTTAATTTTGTCGAGCTACCTTCGAAAGACTTTTATTGAGCGTTCGGTTAGTTCCCAAGCTGGTGGCATATACCAACCATCTTCCCTATTGAAATTTCAATAGGCCACCAATTTGAGATTCAGCATTCAAGAGATAAAATCCCAACCCCGAGCACACACTGCAAGACCAACAGATACTATTAGGTCTTTTTGTTTGCATGATTTAACATAAGAAGGAGATAGAAAGCCTCTCTGAGTTTGTTTCGCCGGTTCTTCTCAGGAAGGTCTTCCAATTTTGGAACCGGTGCCGGTGGTAGTTTACGGTAGTTAGGGTCAAATAAATAAACTCAAAATTACAAAAAAGAATTTTAAATAAAGTACTTTCTTAACTAAACTAAATAATAAATTCATACATAGACAATAAAATTTTAAAAATCTTCCAATGAAATAACCGAACGCTCAATAAAAGTCTTTCGAAGGTAGCTCGACAAAATTAAATAAAAAATCAGTATTCTGACGATGATTGAAAAGGCTGCGAAACGTCAATAAATAAATAAAGTTTCTTGCATCAACCCGTTAAAACTAGTTTTATTTAATGAGTGATGTGGTTGATAACCTAAGAAACAAATAAGAATTTAATCTTTAAGATTTTTACCTGATTTGATTTCATGCTGCTTTTTTACAAATGTAAAAAATAACATCAATAATCTGTAATAGATGACATATTTGGATGGCAATGAAACAAGCAAAATCATAATAATAACAAAAAATATTTTATTACGTATCAACGTACATCATATAGAAACGTAGCCAAATTAACAAAGAGTTAAGGAGCATTAACTACCTACAACTTAAATAAATTAAAGCCTTTTGATTTTCACTTAAACAGCAAATAATATCTTTGTGAATGGTATTCCTTTCTTTTAATCTTTATTTTACATAGAGTCATTATGCAGACACTATAGTGTTATTTAAAATATATACATAAGTAGGATTAATGAACTAGAATTGTAAGTTCTGTAAATTTGACAAGTGTAATAAATGAAATCAGGAAATGCTTTCTAGTTTCATTTTATTTTGCCCTGTGAAGTAAGACACTGAAAATTTTTTGTATATTACAATCCAGCTATCAACAGACTTTTAAACCATTCTTCATTATATCTACGAGTTTCGGATTTTTCATTCTATAATATGTATACCCTAAATAGGGAAATTCATTTATTGCAGTCGCATCTCAAGTTAATTTTCCATAATTTATGTAAGTTTCCATAATTGAACTCTTAAATTGTTTTTCAAACGTTCAATAACATGAATGGTTTAAGCTTCAGCATTTGGAATTCCGACATCTCGACTCATACACAGCTTTGCATACTAGAGATTATCTTCAACGGGCGTATATTATGATATTTTACCTTTGCTGTTAAACTTGGTCTGTGCTAAGTTGGCGTGCTGTCATCGGAATGCCAACTTTTCCTGTTCTCGCTGATTGCCTCCGCGTACGTCGGTGGCGGCGGTAGATTGTCGCTCTTGGTTTTCTTAGAAGGTGGCTTCGCTTGCTGCGCCAGCCGGTCCTCCTCAGCCTCCTCTGGGATCGAATCCCGCCTCCTCGGGTCGAACTCGGAGAGGGCCGGCTGCGATATGTTGTTCCTCTGTGTGAGACCAAATAGCATCAGCTTTGGTGCACTTTGAGCTTGCTGGAAGGTGTGAAATAAAAATTTGCATGCATTACTTAGGGCCACTTGCGCCAGCATTCTTAATTCAAATAAAGACTTTATCCTGGTTGTCACACCATTCCCCTTTGTCAATTGTTTACAGTGGAATATGGATAGAATTAGTCTTAAACATAATATCAGCTTTAAATTTGATTTAAAAACTTTGGCGAAAGTGGATTTTAACAAAAGTGAAATTACTCTGCTATTCACATCATGTTTAAATTTTCAATATAAACTATTGCGTTGATTAAGTTCGATATTGTTTTTTTTCTTTCACTTCTTTATCCTTTTATATTTATCAACCATGTTCAGTGAATTCATGCATGCCTATATCTTCAGCCGTATTTCAATTAGTAAATAAAACATCAGCAACTATTCAATCACGTGAAGTGGAAAAGTTTGAACTATTTTAGATATTCACGCTTCTATGTTCACGCTCATTTAATCTGTCAAAGTCATTTATAAACTACGTCGTAAATTTCTTCCAATACGTCACATAATCTTCAGATATTGTGTAAATATGAAGTGCGGCAGTGAAAACAAGGTTTATATTATTTGTTCACGACGAGTTGTTTTAATGTTCAGGATATTTCTGTTTTTGCATGAGCATTTCTTTGTTTATCACATCTTGGTACTGATGCATCTATCTGTTTTATTCTTTATAAATGAAATGAATTGGTGAAATATAAATTTCTAAAGACTACACTTAATTGGAAAAAATATTCTTTGTTGTATTTGTTATAACTATATATTTTTTATCTCCAAAAATATCACAATAAAATTCTTAACGCTTCTCAACTTTTCATTAATACAATTGCAACTGAGAGAAGCCAGGCGGGTCACTTTTTGAAATAGATATAGATAGATAGTTAATATAAGTTTAAGCATGATAGCAGGGGATTAGAGATGTCGCTCTGACTTATAAAAACCTCTTTTTGAATAGTCCTGATTTTTTCCTATTTAATTTTTTTTACATTTTATCAATACATTTTTATAAAAACATACGTTACCTTACATAGGGTTGCAACGATATATCGGAATATCGATAATATCGATAATATCGAGACCAAAATATCGATATTTATATCGATATTTAAAATTCACTGATATCGATAATATCGATATCGGAAATTCCAAAATATCGATATTTCGTAGACTAAATTTAAACACAATAATATCAATTAATTTCCCTGCTATGACTATCTAAATTGAATAATATCGAAATAACTATTGCTTTGAAATCGCAAGAGTTTATAGATGTATTAAAAAAATCTTGAACCCCAAGAAATATACTAAATTGGTGTGGATTCTGGCATGACTCTCTAAACCTAAAATTAAATTTGACAACAGTGTATCCTTGTCATTCTCTATACAGAATGACAAGGAGAGACTGATGTTAAATTTAGTTTTAAGTTTAGATAATCATGCCAGAATCGATACCAACGTATATAGGTATAATCGTATACCTAATGGTAACTCATGCACTTAAATAAAATCCTTGCCTCTCTTTCTAGATAATTGTCAACTACTGATTAATTGAAATTAAATATCATTGTAATATAACACAAAATAAAATTAAGAATCTTATACAAATCGTAAATTTTTTAAGCTCTTGGCGAGCTCAGGCGAGTCAAGAAAGTAAGATAGATATAGTAATTTTGGAAGCTTTGGGCTTACCCTATTCTGAAGCCATGGGCACGCCCCTGATGTGTGGGAGACTAAGCAATTTGCGTATTTGATGTGCGCTAATAAACCGACATAGCTTGGAAAAGCACGAATGTAGTGAAAACTTAGCGAAGGCATTCGCAAATGTCGTCCCACATATGCGGGATGGCGCATTCGTGCTAACAAATGTGAGTGATTTGATCAGGATAATAATTTAAATTTTTTGGTTTCCTGTCGTGGCTGAAACACTAACCGTGCGAGCCAATAAAAAAAATCCTGCTTGGCGCGATTTCATCAAGCGTGTTTAAAGAAAAAGCTGGCTCAATGCATTTTGCGAGAAACTCGCCAACAAACATATGAATGAGTCACACTCACCCCGTATTCTAAAGTCAATAAAAAGAAAGAAAAAAATATCGATATATCGATAATATCGAGTTAAAATGGTCGATATATCGGATATCAATATTTTCCTGACTTCGATATAAATATCGATATAATATCGATATTTCAAAAGACTTTGCATCCCTAACCTTACAGAATATGTTACAGGCTTTATTCTCTAAAGCTCGTATGTTTTTTTTATGTATAGATAGGCAAATGACTCTACCCCACCTGATGTTAAGTGGTAATAAAGTCCAAACGCGAAGATAGCTGGTACAGCAGTTATAAACTGCTACACCAATCATCCTCACCTTGCCGGCCTGCAAAAATGATTCTTCACGCCTCTCTTAAAGGACCCCAGATTATAGGAAGGAGGGAACACTTGCGCGGGTAAAGAATTCCACTTACGAATAGTGCGACAAAGAAATGAGTCACCAAATTTCTTTGTTCGTGTAGGAAAAGTGGCCACAGTAAGTCGGTGGCAACGTAGTCCAGCGCGCGTGGTCCTCTGAAGAAAAGGTGATGCCGTCCATCCAATGTATTACAGAATGACAGCTAAGTGTTAATCTTTACTTGAGTACAGTTAGAAAGGGATGTCGCTATGTGCTTTATATAGCATTAACCCTTTCTGACTATCGAGACTAGATTAATTACTGAGAATCTCTTATCTATTAGACAAGTCCGTCTGTATGTGGTGCTGTTTCAGCGGCCAAACCGTAAGAGATAGATAAAGAGAACATTTAAGTTATAAGTTAAGAATAGTTAGACTACAAACCGGATTTGAGTAACGTAGCACTTCCGGTTTTCGAGAAATCAGGTTTTGGTGAACATTTGGTTCACTGGTTTGCTAGTTATAATTAATGGCACATATAGTAATATAAGTTATTTACGGGATTGTTACCATGTACCTTGTTTTTCACGGACGGGTTTAAATTGTCGAGTGTCTGGAATCCTCTGGTTCGTATGTGTAAAACCGGAAATAATCAAAAAAGTGTCGTGTCGCGATCCGATACTATAAGTGTTGTCTGTCGAGAACAGTTTCGAGTGAATAGTGAGAATGTGAACAGTGGTACGGGTATGGAACGCAATAAAAGACTTCGTCGGAGGGTAGACCGATATGTCTGCCAATAACAGCCTACCCGCAATTACTTCAGTTACACTGGTTTGCTAGTCTTTCGATAATAGGGGCCTAAGACCGTTACCTTATAATGATTGGCAGGTCTCGAGAACGATAGCACGGGGTTGGAGATGTGGCTCTTGGTGTTCTGGTGGCCGATCTCCAGAGCGGATTTGAGGAGGTCGACCTTAGACGCGGAGCCCTCGTAGTTGCTGCCGCGCCGGTGGCAGTTGCTGCCGCTGCGGCTCCTCGGCTCGTTGATGTCGCCCTGGGAAAACTGTAGAAAAGAATCGTCGTTGGTATGAGTATTTTGTTTTTTTTTTTTATTAGAAAAGTTTAACAGAGTTACCTACAGTTTTCTGTAGAAAAATACACATGAAGCGCTAAAGAAGAAAATAGGCTAAGTCAAATTAAAAAAATTTTACATTACAAGCTGTTAAAGTTACGACAGCATTTTATGACTGGCTCAGAAAATCTATATATATATATATATATATATATAAAACTCAAAGGTGACTGACTGACTGACATAGTGATCTATCAACGCACAGCCCATACCACTGGACGGATCGGGCTGAAATTTGGCATGCAGGTAGATGTTATGACGTAGGCATCCGCTAAGAAAGGATTTTGATCAATTCTACTCCCAAGGGGATAAAATAGGGAATGAACGTTTGTATGAAACTTTATCCTACTTTTAAACCGATCGGGCTGAGACTTTGCATGCAGGTATAAGAAGAATCATAGATGAATGTCATTGTGTGTAATACAACACTGAGTACAAAAACTGTAGTCTACACTTCAGCTCTACACCGAAGCGAAGCGAGGGCGGGCTGCTAGTATGCTCATATAAGCAGTTAATTTTAAAAGCAAATTTAATAGTAAGTAGTATTAGAAAAAAATCCACGCGGACCAGGCAGCGGACGGGGCTTGACCCGCGTGAATTTTTTTCTAGTAAACTTTTCTTTAGATTTAAACATCTAGCAGTTAAATGCTTAAAAAATAAATAAAATCAGTAAGTAGTATTACTTGTAGTATAATAATTGTCTAATTAAAATTTGCACAAACAAAAACTGATATGACAGTCTAAGAAAGAAGTAGGTAAAAAAATAAGACACAACGAGTTTTACACTTTTTTGTGATAGCCATAAGATGAAAATAGTATTTTTGTGGCCATAAATTTAAAAAAAAATGATTCCACAAAATCTATTTGAGAAAAAATGGTCTTAGGCTGTTTTTCCTCATAGCCCTTCACATGTTGGTATATAAAAACAAAGGACTAGTGTTAAATGAAAATTCAAGAGATGTAAAATAAACTCTAATGGATATGGACACGAATACAGGGCTATTGTTTATGAACATTAACCAATATCGAAATTAGTGCCAATGACGTTAATATCTCATACTACGTAGCTACTAGTTAACCCCAGTTGAATACATCAGATAAAATATCAACCTGTTCATAATCTCGCTCATTTTTTTTATTTTTTTTTTACAACACACACCAATCAGCCTAGCCTCAAAGTAAGCATTGTAAGGCCTGTACATGTATAAATATATTTATATAGAAATACATATCAAACATCCATGATTGTAGTACAAATGCTAGTATTCATCATACAATCATCTGCCCCCACCAGGATTCGAACCCGGGACCTCTCGAGTCGGCGACACTATGAAACCTGGCGTACAAACCACTCGGCCACGGAGGTCGTCAAATTTCTAAATATTTCTTACAAAAAAAAAGCAAAAAGATTAGTCGACATCACAGGAGACCGAAGAGCTGGCAGCTACCACGGACAAAGAATAAATTAGTCTAGCTATCCAAAGGGGGAACGCTGCCAGTGTCTTCGGAACCTTGCCTAAAGGGACTCCTTTTAATAATGTATTTTAGGTATTATATTTTATTTTATAAGGTTTTAAGTTTTAGATTCATTGTTATAGTATATTTTTTGTTTTAAGCTAGTACTAGATAATAATATATTTAATAAACATATGTAGCCTTTCTTACATTTCGCTTAATTATCTGATATTACTTTATTATACGAAGCGCAACAAAATATCTCACCTTACTTCACAGTCGCGAAGATAGATGACGCGGCAGAAGGTGTACCGCTCCAGCCATGCTCATCTTGCTGGCCTGAACCCAATGCCCTACCCTGCGGAGCCTTAGAACCCTATTCATCGGTAGAAACAAAACACCAAAGGACTTACACTTAATGCATAAGAACTCACCCTGGACCGCGATCCTCTCGGCAGCGAGTGCAGGGACCCCAGCGGGTTGAACCTGGTGATCATGTGCAATCTCTCTAGAGATATCATCGTCTCAGCGTCCTTACGAAGAGGTTCGTTGTTCAGTTTGTCTCCTTCGGCACTTTCTGTTAGTCATTACAAAATATCAGCTTTTGACGTTCTTCTATCATTTCTATCAAGAGGAAGCTCTGCAAATGCTATTTTTGTTTAGATAATATAAATTTTATCAAGGATTGATATTGGCGATTCTGCTTTTGTACACGGTAAAGCTCAAAACTGGGTTGTCAAGTTTAAATTATAAGCTACTTAAATATTTACTTTGTGTCATTATCTCTGTTTCCGAAAATTAATATCAAACAAAGAGAAGCACGTCGAAGTCCTTTCATTCAATCAGTTTCGTTGGGATCGATCAGATAGAATTGACCCAAACAATTTTCAAATTGTTTTAGCTAAACCACGACCTAAATATATAAAACTCAAAGGTGACTGACTGACATAGTGATCTATCAATGCACAGCCCAAACCACTGGACGGATCGGACTGAAATTTGGCATGCAGGTAGATGTTATGACGTAGGCATCCGGTAAGAAAGGATTTTGATCAATTCTGCCCCCAAGAGGATAAAATAGGGAATGAAAGTTTGTATGAATCTTTGTCAATTTTAAACCGATCGGGCTGAGACTTTGCATGGAAGGTATAAGAAGAATCATAGATGAATGTCATTGTGTATAATACAAGTCCGAGAACAAAAACTGTAGTCTACACTTCAGCTCTACACCGAAGCGAAGCGAGGGCGGGCCACTAGTTGATTATAAGTCGCTCTCACCGGTATCCTGGTCGCACGTTTCGGACATAGTGGACATGTTGATGTTCCTCAGCCAGAAGTAATGCAGGAGACCGTAGGAGACCCCACCCAGGAAGGCGATCAGCCCCATGTATCGGAACGCCTCCCTGGTCCCGAAGGAGGCGATGAGGAGACCTCCGCCGAAGCTGCCGCTGCCTCTGCCTGGAAAATCGTTTATCTTACCATAGATAAAGAGAATGAACTGATTGACCATCGCATGAAACTGACAACTCTTTAGGAGACTGAGTGATGGTACGGTTGAAGCTAAACGATTTCAGCATCATCATCAGCCTATTAATGTCCCCACTGCTGGGGCACAGGCCTTCCCTATGGATGGAATAGGGAGATTGGGCCATGACCCACCACGCGGGCCCAGTGCGGATTGGTGGGTGCTAACGACTGCAGATGCAGCCGGGATCAACGGCTTAACGTGCCTTCCGAAGCACGGAGGAACTCAAGATAGTAATTTTTGGTCACCCATCCAATGACCGACCACTGTGAAAGTTGCTTAAATTCAACGATCGCAGCCGAAGGCGCTAACCACTTGCGCCATTGAGCTCCTTAGATTTATTGAGCGTTAATCGCTATCTATCAGTTTATAGAATAGCTTAGAACATTTTCTGTTTCTGTTCCTATAATCAGGGTGCGGCCAGAGTGCACTCAGATTCAGATTCAGATTCAGATTCTGAAAACAAGCACGAGAAATAAACAGTGTAGTCTAAGCAGGTTGCCTGCTTTTTCTCGCGCTTTGTTTTCAGAATCTGAATCTGAATCTGAGTGCACTCTGGCCGCACCCTTAAACAGCAACCTTCATGAAGCCACTAGCGCACTGATTTTTATGGTGTTTAAACAAAATTGTTCATCTCTGTTCTTTTAAACTGAATATTGCTCGTGAGTATCAATTCAAGAATTTTTGTCTATGAAATTCTACGTTATATTTGATAGTTATTCTGCGACGTAACATTGCCTACGTCCTTATCAGGTATATGGGACAGATTACAGTTAATACCATCTAATAGTAAAGTTAATAAGTTGTATTTCACGGATTCATCTTGTGTACATTTGGATTCGTCTTATCATTTTAGAAACATAATATAAAACAATTTAGTTTCTTTGCCACCGATTTGATTAGCGCTGGTTTCAGAAGATAGTGTTTTGTTCATTTTTTTTTATTCATTACCCATTTTTTCTTATAGGTAGAAAATAGCTGGAAAAAATACGTTTCCGAACTATTACCAACTTTGTTCACCAAAGTGTCATTATTTTTGAATAGAAGACCTGCTTGGCTAATAAATTTATAAAATAAAGCTAATAAAGCTAGATATTGTTCTGTAATGAACATATGAGTTCGCATATTAATGTTGCGTTTGCGTTGTCTATGTGTAAAAAGAAATGCTTGGCAAATTTTCGCTCTAACTCCCTCAACAGGATTTAAGCAGACTAAATATCTGCAATTGAGTCCACAACTAACAAACAACTAGCCAGTCTCTAAATAGCAGGTACTAGCGTACTCGAGTATGTAAAATGCTGAATTTGGATCCACAATACATCCATTTTTCTCCTATTTTCTTATTTTGTCTTTTTTTTTATAGATAGGTCTGACAAATGACTCCACCCCACCTGATGTTAAGTGATGGTGAAGTCCAGACGTGAAGATAGCTGGAACAGCAGTTCTACCTACCACACCAGCCATCCTCACCCTGCCGGCCTGCATGTTGCTTCTTCACGCCTCTTTTAATGGATCCCAGGTTGTAAGAAGGAGGGAACACGTGAGCGGGCAGAGCATTCCATTTACGGTTAGTGCGACAAAGAAATGAGTCACCAAATTTCTTTGTACGCGTTGGAATTGTGGCCACAGTTAGACGGTGACAACGAAGGCCAGCGCGCGTGGTCCTCTGAAGGAAAGGGGAAGGTGTCTTAATTTTATTGAATTGTAATGAATATAATGTTTTTTTGATTTTATGTATGACTTGCCGGTATTTTCGATCTTTCTGTAAACCGGCATGTTTAACTGCAATCAATCAGTAAATAAATGAAACGAAACACAGGTTTCGAGTACTTGCGGTATTCGAATCCTAAATCGAGTACTTTAATAGCAACCTTCTAGCTTTGCGAGTAAAGTCGAATTTTAAATGCCTATTTCACTTTGAAGAACATTGTGAAGTTAGGTACGAGAAGTGTTGACAAATCGTTGCAGGGTGGAAAGTGTTATATTTCCCATCCAACTGGACAGTTTTATAATCTCATTTAAGAATATCTATTAAAGATTTATTTATTTGTTTCTGGTAAGTTTTAATCTGTTGACCTGTTGATTATCAGTAAATTGTGGATTTTGGTGTAGTTTAAGTATTTTTTTTACCTAGTGACTTTGTGATAGGAGGGCTCCAAAGAAAAAACCCGAAGTATGGAACCATACTACTACTGTGTCCATACCTATGGTTATATTTTCGTTGATTATACTAAATGGCTGATTGATTATACATTAATCTATTATTATAGATATTAACGGGATTGTTACCATGTACCTTGTTTTTTATGAGTCTCCGATATTTCGGCACTGTTGCAAGCGTTGCCATGATCACGGAGTAACTCACTTCTGTTACTCCGTGATCATGGCGCTTGCAACAGTGCCGAAATATCGGAGACTCATAAAAAACAAGGTACATGGTAACAATCCCGTTAATATCTATAATGTTAGTGACCATGAAAGTTTAAAACAATATATTAATCTATTATTAGTATTTCACACTTTCTGTAGGGACATATTATATTTTGTTGAATTTACGTAATTCTATGCCCTACATTATGCCTTTAAAGATACTATACCAAATGTAATGCGTATACATATATGTGTGTGCCTGAGCTACGCTTGCCACATTTATATAATTTAATTTCAGTCGCAATAGAGCTATTGAACCTTATGTGTTTTCTTATTTTCCAAATCCTTCTGAATACATTAATAAAATATAAACTTTAAAACTATATAGCTTATTTGTTTCTTAGGTTATCACCACAGAACACACTTTCTGTGTTCTGTGGTTATCACGCACATCACTCATTAAATAAAACTTGTTTTACGGGTTAATGCACGAAACTTTATTTACTTATTGACGTTTCGTAGCCTTTACAGGCTACGTCGTCAGAATCAAACTTTTATTTAATTTGTCGAGCTACCTTCGAAAGACTTTTATTGAGCGTTCGGTTATTTCATTGTTCGATTTTTAAAGTTTTATTGTCTATGTATGAATTTATTATTTAATTTACTTAATAAAATATTTTATTTAAAATTCTTTTTTTGTAATTTTGAGTTTATTTATTTGACCTTAACTACCGTAAACTACCACCGGTTCCAAAATTGGGAGACCTTTCTGAGAAGAACCGGCGAAACAAACTCAAGAGAGGCTTTCTATCTCCTTCTTATAGCTTAACCAAATTCTTCTGAATACGGACTTGTAGTAATGCAATAATATAAACCTACATGATTTGTGATGAATTTTTAGAATTTTTTGTCAAAAGCAAACTATAATGTTCAATTCAAAAGTACTCGAGTTCACTGAAGTATTCGAATACTCGTGCTAGTAATACTTTAATACCTGTCCTAGTCTTCCGACTCGAGTCATTACTCGATTCTTTTTTTAATGAATACCAAAATATTCGCATATGAGCCGCGCCATTAAAGAAACGAATCTAAAATGGCGGCGGCGATCATGCGCTCTCACTCTAAACTATTGCTGTCTTTAGTCGCACTCGGCGCGTACTGCATGCAAAAAAATATCAGTTCTGACTTTGTTCTTGCACTGTCTCAACATTACCTAATAAACAACTTTTTTTTTCTACCTTTCTTTTTATTTGTTAACCCTACCATCTGTCAGTGCAGGTACATAGACGCCATTTTCGATTCGTTTCTTTATTGGCGCGGCTTATACCAAAACAGCTGACTCACTAGTAGGCATTCATTTTCATACATAAAAATTGAGGTAGTAGGTACATTACCAAGACTGAAGTGTGCCATGCCCAGCACTCCTATAAGGGTAGCGAGCAAGCTCTTGGGTGCCAGCATCGCGCAGTACGTCGCCGCGGCCACCCACATCAGATGCACTGACAGAGACTCCATCGCCTCAAACGGGAAACACCACCAGGAGTTCCTGAGGGTTTGAAGAAACATTGTCATGATCAACATCAACACATTAATCTCCCATATGCAGGGGCTCGATGGCGCCAGTGGTAAGCGCGTTCGGCTGCGTTCATTGAAGTTGAGCAACTATCACAGTGGTCCAAAAATTTACTATCTCGAGCTCCTCCGTGCTTCGGAAGGCACGTTAAGCCGTTGGTCCCGGCTGCATCTGCAGTCGTTAACACCCACCAACCCGCACTGGGCCCGCGTGGTGAGTCATGGCCTAATATCCCTAATCCATCCATAGGGAAGGCCTGTGCCCCAGCAGTGGGGACATTAATAGGCTGAAGATGATGATGATGATGCAGGGACACATGTCTTCCCTTTTGAAAGAATAAAGCCTTTTGAAAGAATATGAATTAAATAAATAAATGAAAAATATAAACAAGTTTAATCGACGAATCCTAATAAAAGTATGACTAATATTTTTTTTATCAGTAAGTCCAGATTTCAATTCACTTTCCTTTCAAATTCTATATCTGGATTCATGTTAAGTAAAATGGTGTCACAAACAAATAATCATATCTTAATTTGATCTAAATCAAGATTTAGTACTGAAGTAAGACTTTCTATCAAAGACAAGGTTTTCAAAAAAGGCCCCGCGCAATGTGATGAAATGAAATAATATATATCCGGTAAATATTCAAATTGGCTTTATAAGAAAGTTCTTTTGAATGGTCCTATTTTTCTTCTAACATGAGATTCTTCCTAAGATAGACAAGGAAATAAAAGATATTAAAGGGGCGGAGACCACAACCCTGGAGGCTAGTAGCCACGTCAGCCCACGCGCATCATTGAGCTCATAAACTTGACAATGCCGTATCCACGTAAATACATTAATTCCGCAAATGGTGTTTTAATGTTTAACAACCCAACAGTATGATGTAGGAATGGGCGAGGTGACTTAAATCTTCCGAATCTTAAATTATTTAAGAAGCGGTTTATGTTTTGGGAAAATTTAAATTTCAAACTTCACGTCAACGGTATGAAGTCGATTCTGCTATCTTTTCCGCAAAAAAAACAACTTTTAAGTACAATAAAGTTTTACCATCTCATTTGTGTAGTTTTTTTATGAATAGGGAATCTTCTATATATATAAAAGTCAAAGGTGACTGACATAGTGATCTATCAACGCACAGCCCAAACCACTGGACGGATCGGGCTGAAATTTGGCATGCAGGTAGATGTTATGACGTAGGCATCCGCTAAGAAAGGATTTTGATCAATTCTATCCCCAAGGGGATAAAATAGGGAATAAAAGTTTGTATGAAACTTTGTCAATTTTAAACCGATCGGGCTGAGACTTTGCATGCAGGTATAAAAAGAATCATAGATGAATGTCATTGTGTATAATACAAGCCTGAGAACAAAAACTGTAGTCTACACTTCAGCTCTACACCGAAGCGAAGCGAGGGCGGGCCGCTAGTCTTATTATAAATCGGCATTCTGAAATAATCTACGCAGAAACTATGAAGCCAAACGTGTCACTGTAACGGCTCAATTTATCACGAATCAAAGTGATACTTGTTGAATAAGTGTCTACTGTATAGAATAAGACAGGTAAATACAAGATTTGATGATATTGAATAAGTGGTCGCTAGTTCTTGTTAGAGGTTATTTAAAGACAGTAGATTTGAAGAAACAATGTACCTATATATTGTTTTTTAAAGTTTGGTTTAATTTAAACCAATTATCTTGGTCAAGTTGAATATGCTCCACAGCTTATGTATACATTATTATTCTGCCGTCCTCAAACTAAAATGCGACTAAGTGAAATTTGGTCGATTTTTCAATCTTAAATTGCATCGTAAACAGTTTTTAATTCTCTATCGATCTGTCTATAACAAGTATTCCTATCTTTTATAGTTTAAGTCTAAAAATCCGTCATGTGATGAATGTTTACAAAATAGCAATATTTTAAAGTTCACGTGCAGTTTTTTGGCCATAACTCCCAAGTTGTTTTTGTCATTTAGCCGCGATTTAGTTTGAGGACGGCAGTATTAATGTCGTGAATTTAGTAGTTGGATAATATGTTTATGAAACCGCGTCGAGTCGTACAGGTGGGGTAAGCGAGAACGTGGAAAGGACGGTTCATTAACTGATAGAAGAGGAAGAAAGGATACTAAAAGAAAAAATAAATTAAGGTTGTAAAAGATGAAAGTACGACTTAAGACATGAAAAGGATCCGGGCAAACCTCATTTTTGACAAGAAGATGAATTCTGGGTAAGAGGTCTGACCGCTAATATATCGAACATTAGATTTGACTAAGAGCTTGCGGTGATATTATTGTAGAAAACTTCATAAATTCGTAGCAACGACCTGTAGCTAAAAATCGTAGTGTAGCAGATAATCTCTCATGAGGACTTATTGCTTCTCTCATTACAGTGTCTTGTTTCTGTATTAGTGAAGAAACTAAGACCAGCAGATTTAAGTAAGCTTCCTCATTTATTCTCAAGTAATTATGCCAATCTTTCGAGGCGAATTTCAACTCATTCAACAAGTTGATATGAGAAAAATTGCTTCCTTTTCACGAGCCAGTCTACACCACACACTCCGCTCCTTTTATTCTTTAAACACAAAACTAGGCCTAATATCGCAAGTGCGTCATAACCTTCTATCTTGGTGACATGTTTCTTGCGTGAGCTTCTGCGGAGACCAGACCGAACAGACAATCGACGCCGATATAGAAGGCGTGTGGAGTCACTAGGAACGTTAGATTTATCTGCACAGTCTGAAATCGCTACGATATATCGTTTAACGATATACGTGTGTACCGACCATTAGTAATACTCACTCGATGAAAGAGTAGCCGACGAGCCTGGCGGCGTGGGAGAAGAACGCGACGATAATGACGTTGACGTGGCCGATGCGCGCCGTGATGGCGTCCGCGCCATACAGGAACGGAATGCTGCTCAGTGTGCCCACCGTCACGGTTATACCTGATCAGATCATCAACATCATCAGCCAATGAATATCCCCACTGCAGGGGCACAGGCCTTGCCTATAGATGGAATAGGGGGAAATGTTCCGAGAAATCCAGGTATCGAAAAACCTGGGTTATCCCGGGATTTCGCAATTACTAAATTACCCGGGACTCAAAAGCGATAATTTTATTATCTCTGTGTCAAAATCACGTGCGCTAACGATTCTCGACGTGCCTTGCGAAACACGGAGGAGCTCGAGATAGTAAGTTTTTGGTCACCCATCCAATGACCGACCATTGCGAAAGTTGCATTCCTTGCTCCACGGTCGCAGGCCAAACGAGCTTATCACTTACGCTATCGAGCTTCTCTGACTGTATAGTGGTTTTGAAGTTAGCAAAGAGCCCAACTATGCGCATTTTTCAGTTACTGCGCCTGCGCCGTGACTTGCGCTAACTACACAACGGCCCGCACCATTGAGTTCGCGCCATACATAATATAATTAAAGCGATGGACAGTTGTCAGACCGAGTATAGATGTTAAAAGCAACTGCTGCAATCGGTTTTGTTTTTATTTACCTTGCCTACCAAATAATTTTAGGTTTGGTTTCTCTTAACCCGTTAGTGGAAATCTTTATGACTAAATTCTTAACGATTGGTCACTATCCGTGACGACAACGGCGCGCTGGGGGTGATAATTCATAAATTTTGTAAAATATTTATTATTAAAGTAGGTTAAGATAATTTGGATTTAAAATTTTAGACGTTAATTGGTTTTTATTTTTTTGTTATTTAATCCTCCTATTATTTAATAGACAATATCTAAAAAATGCTGCTTTATATTAATTTTAAAAGTTCCACAAATGACTTTCACAAATGCATTGTGTACAGTTACAATGCATTTAATTAGTACTGCGTAGTCAGTTTTGTTCAAATCATAATGATGAAACCAGCATTTTAAAAATTTATCGTCAAAAAAATAAAAAAATGATCTTACCTAACAAAAAGTTTGGCGCACCTAATTCCTTTAAATAGATAAATAAATAGGACTCAATGAATCCCCAAAAGTTGCCCAAAGCAAACAGGAAGAATATAAAAATGATTATATGCGGCATCTTGATGATATTGACCAAATCCCTTATTAAGTTGTCCGCTGGCAGCTTGGCACCAAGAGGCATCACGGCCACAGTTATCGCGGATATCAGAAGTAACACATCGTAAGTGTAGAACGCAGCTGAATAGTCTGTGTGACCTGCAATCAACAAAACGATGTAAACAGTCAGCAACGAATTATTGACACAGAAGATAACGTAACGAGATGTCTTGCCGCGTCGTACTCACCGGCTTGTTTGCTTTGCATATCTATAAGCATACCAGTGATGGGTGAAAATATAGCCATTCCTATACTTGAAAATAATCGCTCCCTACCGAAGTCGCCCCCGTATTTTTGTATCATTGTCAATGCAATTGGATCCATAATAGTCACACCGGCGGATAACATGACGGTACCCATAAATCGCAGGAAAAAGTATATGTAGAAAGTCTTATCATCACTTTCCTTATAATCCGGTGGGCATATGTCCGGTCCGCCTCTCCTGTAATATTCCATTCAAGATTTACTTACAGATAACTACCGTTTGAGTAAACTATAGATAATAAAGTAATCGATAAGGCACTAATAACATATAAATCTGATTGCATGACACACCCCATACATGACAATTCAATAGATGTAAATATACTACCTGAAATCACATTTCTGTACCATACAGTCGGCTGATAATATTTCTAAGCGTTGTTGGGAGAGTTTCGTCATGTTATGCAGCATAACAAGTCCTCCGCATCTTAAATCCTCCTTGTCGAGAGCTGTTATGTTTACACCTTGTGCTATCAACAATTTTTCCCCGAACCTTGATCTAAAGTCTGTTACCGGATCATCTTCATCCTGAAAAGTAGAAATTGCGTGAGCATTCACCGATCTCCAAAAACACATTCTGATAAAATCCTTTGGTTTGATTTTTGCAAAACTTACTCTTTCCATTTCAATGCCAAGTTGTTCCTTCGGCTCCCCTAAATCATCGTGAACTTCTATAAGAAAGAAAGCGGCGTCATTGAAATCTTCTTCATCATCCTCGGTGACATTGAGGAAACTGAAATAATGTGTTTAGATAATATTAATTAATGGTGACTTTTCTCTACATTCCGACGCAAAAACATGCTCCACGTTAACTAGGAAACTACAAAAATCATTTAGTTAATTATTTACACACATTTATAATACTTATCACTGTTTTTCATACAAATACCATTTAATAATATGAGTAGAAATACTATGCTTTCATTGCCTCTATCGAGATAACATATGAACACAATATGACTAACCACTGTTCTTTACATTCGGAGCTACGCAAATAGATGCAAGTCACTTTTAGTTTTTCGTAACAATAGAAATATTTACTGTTGTTGTATTTTATGACTGATGTGGAAATCCAGGTCGTCTTTATCGTCATTGTCAGCGGCTTCTGTGACAGGACTCTCTGTAGGTCTTGACAGTTTGCAGTGGTCCACACATCGATCCAAAACAAAGTCCACAGTCTCGTCTTCATCAGGGCATTCCCTGCTAGGGCATGGACTCCACCATATCTAAAAGTTTATTTTAAACGATTAAATTTTTATTCTGAAATTATTATTTTTCTCGGTTTAGAGGAGCCTTTTCTAAATAGTGGAACTAACAAAAAATTAAAATGAAGACGACTAATAAAACCAATACCTTGAAAAAGTAAACTCGGATTCAAGGCAAGCAATATGCATAAGACCTTCTTAATTCCCTTAACTAATTCAAACAAACGGACTTACGTTATAACACTAGCTAATTCGCCCTGTGGCCGGATGACGGCGATTTTCTTAAATTCTTAGAGTAGTCTGGCTTGACTCGTGACTAAACAACGAGGGACGTTCCGCTAGGGACCTCTGTTTCGAAACGAATCTATAAATAATTCGTACCTCGACACTGTTCGTGATCGGATGCCGCATCACATAGGCAGACGGCATCACCCCAGGGGTCTCCTGATGCGGTATCAGCAGTAGCGAGTGGTGAAAGGCAGCATTCAGAATGAGCGCTGTGATCACCACCGGCTTGTATTCTCCAAAGCGATCCACCAAGAACCCTAAAACACAAAGAAACTAAAGCAACACAAACCTCTTGCTCAAAATCCACATCGTCATCATCCTCTACTTACCAGTTATTGGTGGACTCAGAAAGGTCGTGAAAGGCAGAGCTAAGTATACGAAAGAGATCTCACGCACAGTCAATCCTATACTTTGCATGTGTATAGTCAGATAGGGCAACAGGGAGGCCGTAGCCCCGTACATCACAAAGAGTGTCACTTTCAACATGATCAGATTCGGATTGATGCGCATCCACAGCATCATCCTGGCGAGGCAGTTGTGCTGCTCTTCATCACCGTCCATAGTGTCGTCGTCTTCGTTGTTCTTTTTCGGAACTTCTTGAGATTTCGCCATGCTTAGTGCGTTCACTCACATTTTCATATTAAACGTCTTTAAAGAGTGTTGCTCCGCGGGCTATATCTTATCGACTGGCGGTCGGGAGTGTGAGCTGCGTGCGTTGTGACGAGTGTTTGCTTAGACTCGAGTAGATCGGACGAGCAGCCGGCGATGTGCTCGGAGACAGCGGGAGATCCTTACAGGGTCCCGTGCTCGCGAGCAACTGGGCCGCGAGCGGATAGCCACCGACGAGAGGACACCAATTTACAAATAATAGCAAATTACCTTCGTTTAAGAAGTGTCACGCGGCATTGGTGGGGATGCTGGTTAAATCGACTGGCGATCTGGAGACCTTGCGGGGTAATCACTGGGCCGGGGTGCTGCGAGATTTGCGCCTTAGTTCCCGATGGGGCATCGGTTCGCGAAACAGCGCCAAATATTTGCCGCTCGCCGGATTGTGAGTTTTCACAAAATCATTTTTTCAGTTAACGCCCACGTTCGCAGTTTCTTTTTTTTTCTTTAAAATCATTGAACAAATTATTGTATATTTGATATAAATCTATTTTTTTATGGGTTTTAATGAAATAACGCTTTTCTCTGTACCTACCTTAGATTATGCTACTACGTCTTTCTTTGAATTAAACTTCGATATGATGACGAAGTTTTTTTTTGCTTCTAGAAAAAATTGACTATAGTTTTTTTGGTTTTTTTAAATACCAATTTTCTTTACCATACCTACTTAAATAGATATCATGACTATAGTTATGTAATTTATTAGACACTTTAGTCAATTTATAAATTTATTATGATATAATAATCCCCCATACAAATGAAAAAGCTATTTTCAGCTTCACATATTAAAATAATAACAAACATGTGAAAATGTGATAGCATAACATTAATGGTTAAGTTCTTAAGCTTAGGTAATAAATTTCATACTTAAACTTTTCATAAATCCAAAACTTTGAAGACAGATTCCAGACAAGGTTTTAAAACTATCTTTACCTTGGTAGTTGCCTCTTTAATCTAACTAAGTATTTAAACTTATTATTATGTATTTTTTACTATCTACAGAAAAAAGTTGCCATGTGACGCATTTTCAGAATTCTTTTTATTTCTATTCCAGCGTCTATTAGTTACTTCATTGCCTATTTTAAGGGCAATTACAGACTAACTGGGCAATGAATGACATGCTAATTACATAAATCAAACTTTATATCAATTTATTAAGGCGACACATCTATATCCTTATATTAATTTTTTTAGTGATCAAGTTTTCAATATCTAGATATTTTATAGTATAATTATGTGTACCAATGACATTCTCTATAGAAAGTTCTTGATAGTACTGTCGGTTTAATAAAATTTGCAAATTACTTCAGCCCACTTGCTTAACTAATCCTGCATAGATAGTTAATACAACACTGGATTAAAGCCACCATTCTTGCTGCAGGAACACAACATTTCAGGATACGGTTTCAAATTACAATATAACAATGTTTGGCTCCAGAGATCGCTGCAAATGAAGCGCAAAATCTTCTGCCCTTTTAAAATAATTTTTAGTATAGAGTTTTAAATAAAACTAGTTTTTACTTTAAGTTTATTCTGACGAAATTCTGAGAATAATGATTATTCTGACGATGCAGACCTGAAAAGGCTGCGAAACGTCAATAAATAAATAAAGTTTCGTGCCTTAACCCGTAAAAACTAGTTTTATTTAATGAGTGATGTGCGTGAAAACCTAAGAAACAAATATATAGAGTTTTAAATTATTAAACTTATAGTAAAAAAATAGGTTCTTTCCATTATTTTATCGACCAATAACTTACTTCCAATGTATTAAAAAATCAGATTGCCCAGTGCAAATAACTTGCTATATCGCAAATGTATCAAAATGTATAATTATATTTGTATTTTAAGCATTTAACTGTTAAATGTTTAAACTAAAGGAAAATTTGCTAGAAAAATTCCAATCGGTCCAGAGGCCAAAGTACGAACTTTTTTTATCCGTAACCGTATCGTCCAATTATCGTCATTCATCGTCAATTTTCTATGGAAGGAATCAGTTTGTTCTTACGTCCAGTAGGGGGCGCTGCTAGGTCTTCATAAAAACTTTGACATTGCGATACGATTACGGAGCTCTCAGAGTTCGTGCTTGGGCCTATAAAAAAATGGATTATAAGTGGATTTTTTTCTACTAAAATTTTCTATATCAAAATATATTCAACTAAAATCAGCCACCTAGTGTCAAGAAGCTGAACCAGGAGTTGTGAACTTACGGCGTCGACCCTCAAAATGCAACTGAGCACCTAACATTAAGTATTCAAATGAATTGAAAGTAAAAACTAAAACTAAAAAAAAAAAGAAAAAGAATTGAAACTATATAAAGAACATATCAAAATATTAACTTAAAATTAGAAATATTTATGATTATTCACATTTCAAGGAAAAAACAAACAAGAATAACTAGTTAACGAAATTATTTGGTCTAGTCCAGTGAAGAATGAACAAATTTCTTTGCTTTTATTTGGATATAAAGTGGGATTTCAACTTCTGCTTTAGTTATTTTGTATTAGAATTTATTAATCATAATTCAAGTCTTACAGTCTTACTTTTACTGATAATGCGACATCTAGCGTCGTTTATGATAAAAGTTGGTAATATAAGCATGCTTTTTAAGCAGCGCCATCTATTGTGGAGTAGCATTACATTAAAATATAAAACTGCACACTACATATAATATTTAACTCAAAGCTAATTAAAATTGGCAATTAAAAACGGAATTCAACATATCGTTTATTCTATAAATCACGCGTACAAATATAAATTCTAGTACCTAGGTCAAAAAAGAGATTTAGCTATGACTACAAAAAATAATTAAGTAAGCCATAGACAAAATAAGGTACATGCACCTAATATGACCTTAAATTAAAACAAAAAGGGAAGAAAAGCTCGAACTAGCATCAAATAAAATATGCTCCGTCTCAACTATATAAGCAACTGTAACATACACACACGTCTGTAAATAAACATTCAACTATTTTTGTTCTTTTTAAAAGCATCGAACACATTGTTTTATCTTTATTACACAGAATATACGCAATTTTGGTATATGCACTCAATATAACAATATTGCGTATATTCTGCATGCAGCGTGTTTAAATGTTCGAGTGTGACTAAAGCGAATTGTGGTCATACATCACAATTAAAGCGGATCACTTTTGAACCGCGGGTGCCGTATCTTCCATTTTTGTTTTAATCCAAGAATATGACCGGTTCCTACGATGTCCCACTTATACCTTCATTAGTTCAAATGCCTTGGAAGGAGATGGTTAAAATTTGTATGGAAGTGGTAATGAGTATCTGGTAGGCTCCAAATTTTTATACCATGTAGTGCACTTAATTGTAAATCGGTTGACAAAAAACTAGAATTTATTTTATTCTCCTTTTTAAATTATTTATTTGTTAATTAAATATGACACAATTATTGATTGGCAAATGGCAAGTTTATTGATCTGCTGTTTGTTGCCAAATAATCAAATATATTCTATTCAATAGGTAGCTAAAGCAGTGATAATTATTCTCTTCATCTCGCATTAAATTACTAGGTATTTTGTGGGAATTTTATTTCAAGAAGAGGGTCTCCCAGAGGGTGACCAATTAATTTATCAATCATCATCATATGTATCAATTATAAATTGTTATATCGTCAGTGGAAAATTAAAATCGCTTATTCGCCACTTTGGTGCTGCTCAAAAATGAATTTTATTTTGTTTTTATTCAATGTAAATTTTTAAGCGACACTGAAGTGGCTATAAGCGATTTTGCTTTTCCAGTGTCGATATTAATTTCAACACGATTTCACAAATCTAAGTTAGCCCACCGTAAATATGTTAGGTTATATTTCCTATTATATCCATTTTTAGGATTCCGTACCTCAAAAGGAAAAAACGGAACCCTTATAGGATCACTTTGTTGTCCGTCCGTCTGTCAAGACCATTTTTCTCAGGGACGGAGGTATCAAACTGAAATTCATATCTAATACTCATGTTTTACTGTCCCTTGGAGCTGTGAAATAATCAAACTTCTAAGTCAAAGCAATCAAAAGATACAGCCGTTTATGGCGCAACTTTCCGCAAATTTTCGAAACTCGCACGCGAATCTAAACCTACAGGGTACTTCCCGTGAGCTTAGAATCTTGAAATTTGGTACGAAGTAACGTCTTGTAGTACAGATAAAGGAAAAATGGCGAAAACCGTAAATTTTTAGTTACATCATATACTAAAATTTTTTTTTGAATTTTTTTTTTGTTACTACCTATTTTCTCATGGATGCGTAGAGGTATTAAATTGAGTTTTTGCGTAACCATCGGTGCGCGAATCCGACTCGCACTTGGCCGTTAATTTTAATTTGATTGAGTTTACAAATTACGTTTTATAAGTCGGGTCATGATAAATACATATGATCCTAAAAAGGCTCACTACAGAGGTATTCTAAAACAACTGTTTTCTGTTTTTTTTTTATCAAATGTGTTGATTTATATCGTGATTATAAATAATACAGGAATAATATTTTTATGTAGTTATTTTAGATAAATGATTCCAATTTTTTATATATTTCAATAATGCCTAAACCTGGGCCTACAAAGCGTTCCTACCTCACATGTCGCATTTCTCGCGTCCAATGTGCACAACAGCGTCCTTTTTCTTCTTATTTTTTTTTTGTCTATGTGGTTTACATCCGAATTTTGCAATAGCGAAACTGTACTAAAATCTGAGTTATATGTCTTTGGCACCGGATATGGGGCAATTTTGTATGGGATTTTGCGGATCTCCCATAGGATTTCCTTTAATTCAGTTATTCAAGAATTATAAATACATTTAAGTCTTAAAAAACTTCGTTCCAAAGCAAGTTTTATTTAAATTAATAAAACTCACTTTGCGATATCAGCGCCACCAATTTGGCAGGCTAATTTTAGCTCACCTCACAGTCACAGACGTAATCAACGTGGCGAGCTCCATCTAGCGACAATAAAAATAACTATGATGTAGACTGTCTGTAGCCCATAGACTAATCTGTAGTCTACTGCAAATTGTCAACCATAATGCATTGCGCATAAATGGCCGCCATGTTGCTGCCGTCTGAAGGATGTTCGCAACTGTGTGTGTTTACTAATGAATTTTAAGACCAAATAGTTAAATTACCGTGTTTGTGAAATTGTGAGTGTACAATGGTTTTTTATTTCATATATTGCTGTGTTTGAAAAGTCTGTCAAATGCCTCTGAAGCTAATAAACTGTGAAATTTTCTTTAGATAGTCACTCTGATTTGGACGGCATAATGGCTGACAATCTTATTCAAAAGTCACATAAAACTAGTGAGAAAAACAAGTATAACAACGTTGTTCACCGCACGACGAGCGAATCTCTTCGTCTGAACGAGTCGGAGAAAGGAATAACCCATCCGACGACTCTTCAAGGCGCCCATAACCCAAGGAAAATATCTTCGTTTCAGATCACCAGTGTGACGGTTGGTTCTCGAGTGAGCACTGATGCAGGAGAGGATTCGGCCGACGATCTAGATGAATCTCATACCGACGACATCTCTCGAGTGACCGATATCGAGAATGAAACACCCAGTTATTCCGAAGATACCTTCTCGAAAGATGATGTGTTTTACAACGCTTCGAGTGCATCTTTAGGTTGTGCCCCCGTCATTCCGACCAGCTCGCAGTACGGACTGGCGATCGTCGGTCAGGATAACAACACCAACCAAATAGGAGGAGCAGTGCCAAATAGTAATAATACAGAAGTAAGTGACATGCATGTCAGTGTCACGAACGCCGGAACGGGTAGCATTATCAATCTTATTGGACATGCTAAACCCCAAGAAGGTATGAAAGAGATACAAGAACACGTTAGGAATGAAAGGTTTAAAGTTGTAAAAATTGAGAGCACGGAACCATTCCGCAGAGGCCGATGGATGTGTATGGACTACCTAGATCACACTACAACTCAAAATGCACCGATAACTATAAATAACAATTTGGACATAACAGATCCAAACCTGCAGGCTCCAGATAGTGGTGTTGTGATAAATGATAGTCAAAATGAAGATTTACCAAACGATTTGACAAATAAGGGACCCAAGGATCTACAAGGTAACCCTCCACCAGTCCAGCAGTTAGAACAAAATATCCAGAAACAATTTCCAATGGCTTCCCCAGGGCAATCTCTGACTCAGCCTTTAAATGTTGTGCAACAGATGTCAGTACCTCAATCAGTGTCTGTACAGTCACCTCCATTAGAAATGCCACAACAGATGCCAAACCAAAATATGCAACCTACTCAGCAAGTGGGTCAGCAGCATCCACAGAGTATGACTCATATAACTATGCAGAATGCGCCCCAGCCTCACCCGCAAGCGCCTCAACAACAACAAGTGCAACAAATACCGCAAAGCTTTCCTCAACATCAATTGCAGCAAGTGATTGCCCAATCACAAGGTATTCCCATGCAACAAATACCGATGCATCAACAGATGCCCCAGCAGATGCAGCAAATACCCAACCAACAAATGCAACAGATGAATCAACATATTCCACAGTCTCAAATGACCAATATGCAAATACAGCAACAGATGCCTCAAATGCAAGCTATGCAAAACCAGGGGCAAATGCCCCAAGTGGCTAGTCAACAACCACAGATGCAACAACTGCAATTGCAACAAATGCAAGCGCAGGCTAATCCCCAACAAATGCATTTGCAACAGGCTCAGATTCCTAATATGGGGCAAAGTCACCATTTGCAAGGACAACAAACTATGGGCACTCAGCAAGCCCAACTGCAGCAAATGCAAGCTCTTCAGAACCAACAACTACCAAACCATATACAGCAAATGCAGATGCCTACTCAGTTAACTGGAGCTAATCAACAAATACCTCAGATGCAGCCTCAAATGCATCAAATGCAAACCCAACCACAGCAATCGGTTGTTCCTGGAATGCACCCACAGATGCCCCAACAAGGCATGCCTACAGTCCAACCCCAATATAACCAAGCTGTGAACCAGCAATCGAATCCTCAGACAATGATGAGTGCAAATATTCCTTCATCACAGCAGCCAATGGTACAACCACAACATAACGTTACTCAGTTTCATACACAGCAGTCCCAGATGAGTCAGCAGGGGCAAACTTTGCCACAAGAGGTGCTCACAAGTATTGTTACATCACAACAAGGTGCAACTTTGCCTACAAATCTCCAGCCTATGGTGTCCCAACCACAAGGCACTACTCTGCCAGCGAATCTCCAAAGTCTAAACCAACAGCAAGCTCCGTCGGTGCACCCAATGGCCCCACAGCAAGGCACTGTCCCACAAGGGAACATGCAGATGATGACAACGGCTCCCCAGAATATGCAGATGACTCTAGACGGGAATCAGCCTAGCATGCAGATACCCGCCTCAGATCCGATATTCATGCAGCCAGCTAACGTCGGTCAGCAAATACCTGTTGGGCAGCATATGGCGCAACAGAATATGTTACCGCAGCAAGTGAGCGGCCAGGGACAGATGGGCAGTGTGCAGTATGTGCCCAACCAGTCGTTGCCGCAAGTGTCGATGGCCCACCAGAACATTCCTATGTCGATGCAGCAAAGCATGCCCGTCGGCATGGGGAGCGGAGTTCACGCGAACGTGGTGCCATCTCAGACAAGTATGGGCCTTGGGTATGGAGGAGTGGTTCCTGTAATGTCCCAGAGCAGCGTGGCACCGGTAGAGGCCACTGTCTCCGGGACTAACTCCCCTGTGGTTTCACTGCCGGTCAACTCGACTGCTTACGTGAGCAATGCTCAGCCAGGACATGACAATCAGGGCTTCGGTAGCCCAGTGAGTGCAGTGGTGTCTCATGCAATCAGTGGAGCGGTGATGAGCAATGTGAATGTGAGTGCGTGTGATAGTGGTGCTGCGGAGGTGCCTGCTGACAACATGCAGGCAGGAGATGCTGCCGATGGAAAGGAGGAGCAACAGCCAGTACCACCTCAGGAGGATGAAAGGTTAGTTTTCTTAATTTTTCCCTAGTGTGCCAGAGCAAGAGCTGTGTTAAGTTTTTTTTTTTCAGTTAATTTGATAGATAATCATAAAATTATTTAAGATAAACTTATTTTTATCATTTTTTACTTACTGAACTCATATCGTAGTCATCAGAGTACAACTAATTGAAATTAGTTACCACATTAGTACATTAGTACATGAAAATTTACACCCTGCATGCAAAACTGAACTTGAATTTTTTTTTAAAGTGTGTCAAAGAAATTTTCTTAGAAAATTTTAATTTAATTACATAGCTAAACTGTAATATACCCTAAACATGAAAATAATCATATTTAACTGCCTAATTATCGTTAGCTTAAAAGTATTTAAAATGTGAGAATTTATATAAATTCCTGAAACCACATATGACAAAGATTGTTATATCTATAAGCTTGAGATGTTTAAAAGTTCATGTTTTAATTCAAATTGGATGTATAAAAAAACTCTTTTGAATGTAGTATAGTCCAACAAGTTCTTTCCTACCATCCATAAACAAGGATTCAGTTTCTTTTTTGAAAACGAAATAGCGTTACTGGGTGCCAGCATAAGTCCCTTTTATGTTCCCTGTTTCATATATCACACAACTGCCAAAATAGGAGAATTTTTGGCAATATAGATAATCAAATTACTTATTTAAAGGGTAAACAATAGTAAATACATTACATTACCATAAACTTAATAATATTTCTGACCCTACGAAGTTAATGAATGAATGAACATTGTTTGGTATTTAAATAAATGATATAATTAATCATACGTCTTGTGAGATATGATTGATAACCTCATTTTATTTGTGGAATAAGTAATAATGAGCTAAAAATTGCCAGAAGTTATCAGAAAGCTTATATTCTTACAAGTAAGTTTTTTCTTTTATTTAATTGTATAACTTATACAAAAGTTTATTGCGATAAATCCAAACAGTTGTATAGTTTTAGTTAATTTATTAATTGATGGGTATGCATTTGTTAGGACGTCACAAGGTCATTTTCAGAGTTTATGCTTTGCTTACTACAAAGTAGATGTTAGTTTATTTATTGACTGGTGATCCACCCCAGCTTTGCACAGGTGAATTTTATTTTAATGCAATGAAATATAGCTCATGTTAAGCAAGCTTATAAATATGGTTTTCTTGTGATTTACTAACATTTATTTACTGGTAAAAAATAGTAAAAATATCCACAAGCATTAAAAGGTATATTCAATGGCCAGTATCAGAAACAGCCTATGTTATTCAGGTATAATGAAGCATTCTAATAATTAAAGAATTTTTGATATTGATCTAGTAATTTGATTTTTTTTTATATCTTTACTACTTATAATATTAAGGCGCCCTGGGGCTATTATAGCTAGGGGGCAAATGTAACTGTTTCAAATATTACGTTACTGTTTTGTTTATTATAGAAGTTACATCCTTGGCTCTGTAGAATAACTTTTATAGACCAACATATAAATGGATTTTGACATTAACACATAAACTGTTTTATTTATATAGTCATACTTTATTCTGCCAATTTTTTCACATCTGAAAGCTAATAGACCGCAGTCAAAAACAGTTCCACAATCTTTTTATTTCTCAATATTGGAATGTGTTCTACTGTGTGTCATGAGATTATTAACGTTTAGTAATTTTTCATTAATTTATTTTATCCTATGCTTAACTAAAGTCAAGTTTTTTGAGAGGGCAATGTTTGCTCCTTAAAAAATTGCAAATGAGGTAATTCTATTGTGGTAGTACGTGGACGACAGCTGAAAAGATGGTCAGCTGACATAAGAAGGGTAGCTGGCCCACTATGGCTGAGGTTAGCAAGGGATAGATCAGGGTGGAAAAGGCTGGAGGAGGCCTATGTGTCTGCAGGACACGCTGAATTATAAATAAAGGTTAATGATGTGTTTTTATGTAATTATCAGCAATAAAGGCTTTTGTATTGTATTGTGGTAGTACCTGATAATATCAGTTTCTACTCGCTTTATATGGTTATCCAAAGTTATCGAACTATATGTCCCAGCACTATAGTAAATGGAAAAAGTAAATACTTTAAGTAAATTTAAAGCGAATTGAACTCTAATAGAGAGCATTGAAGAATAAAATTGTTAGATATTTACTGTTAGTTTGAGAATTATAGATACAACAAAAAAGACATACAGATGGTTCAGCTACGTTTTCCCCAGATCGGGCGAAAATGTGACTATTGGCGGCTTTAAGTGGAATATCTTCAATTTAAAATTAGTTGAATGACTTTATATCAATCTGAACTCATCTATGTTAGCAATAATACATTTGTAATATAAAAAAATAATTATATTTGGTGAATTGCATAAATTTAATTTAAAAAAATTAAAGCCACAAGTGTAACATAAATTTTTTGGATGCTACAATTGCCCCCGGGTGACGTTAATTAGTCTTGATGTACTTTAATGAGCAAATGGTTTTTACATGTATAAGCAAGATTAGAAAAAGCGGCCAAGTGCGAATCGGACTCGCGCACGAATGGTTCTGTACAACAAACGAAAAGAAAAAATCGTTTGTTTGTTTTACAACTTACAAAGTACATTATGAATCGGCGTTTTTACCATTAATTGTTGTTGAAAAACAGCTTATAAGATATCACATACCAAACTTTCACACTTCTAACTAGTTTCAATTTTGATATAAAGTCATAACAAAATTGATCAATAAATTTGAACTTGGACGGTTTCTTCGTTTTTGAAAATAAGGCAATAATAACGGCAACAGGTAAACGCTTGAAACATTCACAGAATATTTAGGTAGTTGTATAGTAACTAAAAAAATAAATAATTAATATGGGTTGCCTGGAAGAGATTGCTATTAAGCAATAAGGCCGCCTATTGTGTAATGTCTCTCTCTGTCAGTGTAATCTTACTGTTATGTCCTTTGTGGTGTTATACAATAAAGAATATTATTATTATTATTAAAGTAAAATATAACAAACGTGTTTTTTTCCGGTATTTGCTTGTTTATTGTCTAATGTTGTATAGATAATGGTACGGAACCCTTTGATAGATAGATGGATAAATCATTTATTTCCATCAGTACAGCACACAAATTCAAGTAAACAATTAGAACAATTAATTACTAGGTAATCCTTTGTGCACGAGTCCGATTCGCACGTGCCTGGTTTTCTTTTTACTACCCTCAAGAATGTTTCCAAGTTAAATCTTACAATGCGCTGCATGCGCATGCGACACTATCACACAGTTAAAACCTGCATCCACTCGAAATTAACCAATCCCGTTGCTATTTGCAAAAATAACTCGTCCGTAGACAATGGCGGTTTGTTTTCGTTGCGTTCGGACTGCGGCGCTAATAGGGTTGCCAGTTAGAGGCTTTTAAATTCCTGGACTACAAACCCCTCTTTCTAGATCAAGATTAAATCCATTAACAACGGACAATTAGGGAAATGAAAGTAAAAAGAGAAATGAAATTAATTGGTAAATTATCCGACTCAGTAATTGTAAATGCGAATAAATAATATAACTCTATCTGAGCATTCTCCCTTATGTAATACTTATTCTTATGGCATCGCGGACCACTGGTTAACAACCACTGCCGTAGAAGAACACTAAAATATAATGCGATTCAAATAAGAATAGGAAAGCCATTATTGGTCATTATTGGATAGAGGTTATCCTCTATCTGTCAAATGTCGCTTGAAAAGTACGGCTTGCAAAAAAAAACTTGGAACCCTTGTTAGCACTCCGCTAATTCAAGAATAAAAACCAAACATTTGTAAACAAACAATAACAAATATTGATAATTGATATCGGTTGATATTTTTTTTTTCACTTATTGTGCTTTGACCATGAATGGTTGGTAACCTAAATCGTCAACCAAATGTCACTTTAAGTTGCTCACACGTCAACCAAATGTCACTTAAGTCGATTTCAAACTTTCTTTACATAAAGGATGCATGTTCGTATGTGACCTAGTAATAGTGCATGATTATTCATAACTACTCCGGCGGTAATGCAGAGATGAGCGGAATAGAGGAGCTAGATTCTGATTAATATTTTTTCGCAGTCTTAATAAATAAATATTATTAAAAATCGGTGTTTTTTATTCTCAATCTTAGTAGATAAATGTTATTAAAAAATGTGATGCTTTTTCTCACTTAACCTTAGTAAATAAGTTTTATTAAATAAAAACTTTTTTTTGCTCACTCTACCTATTTGGTTTGAATTGACAGCTATGACATCACAATATGGCGCCCAGTCGGTCCTATTCTTAGTTGAATCGCATTATAAAATTCGAAGCATACGAAATTTTGAAGTGTGTGACGGGTGACCGCTACAGGGGTATTATCTGGTTTTTACTGGCCTTGTTAAGGGCGTTAGATAGGGCCCTGTTTATGCTATCGAGCCCCAGGGCTGGCTGAAATGAGCAGGGAAGAGTCCCAGATACATTTTTCTCGCTCTCCCGGTGTTTGAAGGATGCGTAAGGCATTTTTCGGACATAATAAATGTGAAATACGAAATGAAATAAAACACTTTTAGAACGTGTATGTAAACAATGCAATTCATTACGTTTTAAATTATTCTCCATGTTTCGGATCCTTTACAACAACCTTTTCTTATTTAACATAATAATTACTCAAACTCAATAATATTCTACGCAGTCATATTTATTTAGGGGCCCCATATGGGAAACTAAATGCTTGTTTCACTTAGCTTGAACTTTTGCCTATCACTATAAGTGGTTTGCGTATTCCGGGAACTCAGACTTTAATTATTTATTAATTTATTTTATACTTCTTTACCAAAATACAGTAAATGGCGGACTTAATGCCATAGGCATTCTCTACCAGTCAACCAGTAAGGATGTGGGAGGCGAATGTTATGGCGATAGAGTGCGAGCTACTAAAGTTATAAAAACATAATATATTATCCTACTTAACTTAACTATACTATAATAAACGATAAATAAATATTATATAATAATCAAATA